ACTGGAACCTGGTTTCCGTTTGTAAAGCATTTAAACCACTCATAAACACACTTTACTCACTGCTTCCTAACCGTAAACTTTCACTAACATGTCATTTGTCTCCATCGTCGTTTTGCCTAACTTGAAACAAAACTTTATGTTCATGCGTTGCTCCATGTCACACTGACAGTCTTTCTCACACTGACCATGTTAAACTGCTCATGGCGTGCGCTTCCTCTTATCTGTCGTAAAATGGCTGTTAGATGGCTCTAGATGACATTTCTCTCACTGCCTCTGCGTGAGTGCAAGATCCTAACCGGCGCGCTTTTTTAATTATGATACCAATCACCGAACTTTTCGAACACACCTTGTATATTGAAATTCAGAAACATTTTAAAGAAATCTGAAATGGTTTAATGACAATTTAGACAGTTTATGCTCTTTAAAGTGCGTTTCTCAGTTTGCATTTTTTTAATAAATCCTCTTATTTAATGTCCTAAAACTTCTATAGATATGGCCTAAATTATTTAATATTTTTACCACTTATTTAAAATTATAGCTTTATAGAAAAAAGGATGGGTTTTTGCAAAATACTGAAAAGAAAATTTATTTGAAGTGAAAGTGTGAATGAGATTGTTTCAAAGTTTTTACATAAAATTTTTTTTTTTTATTTTTTCTCAGAAACTAATTCATTGATTGCAAAAATCAATCATTAAAGTTATTAAGAACTCTAATGAATACAATAAGAAAAACTGTGGGAGAAGAATGACATTTTAATTGTTAAACTTTTCTTCAAAAAACTTAAATTAAAAAGAAATTACTGGCCAAAAAAAGTATTAAAAAGAATCTGAAGGGTTTCAGATTTTAAATTACGTCTAAAGGGGCATGTTTTTAACGTTTTGTGTGTTACCTTTATTTATTAAATATCATGCACTATGTACTCAAACTATGAAATTAAGTTCAACAGCAGTATCGCAAAATAAAAAGTGAGCATATCATAAAGTGAGCATATCATTAGTTTGCTATACAGAGTGTCACGTGCTGGAGGTAAAATGTTTTTTTTTTTTTTTTTTTTCCCCCCCATTGCTTGCTTTGAAATCATATAGTTTTTTTAATTACAAATTCGTTGAAGTGTTACAAAAATGAAATTGATAAAAAAACAAATTTCAAATTCAAATTAGGGATTCCACATGCCCATTCTCTAAGGAAGATTACGTTATTCAAATTTGATAGCTCTAGGTACTGTTGTTTTATCACACTGAGAAAATCATACATACATTCATGCAGATTCTACCGTACTACAGGGCTCTAAAATTTAGTGGCAACAATTTTAAAAGTGAACTGACATTTATGGTGAACCAACCCAAAATGCCAAAACGAAATTAATAGTCCTTCTGGGGAAATTGCCCACTTTAGACTAAAAAAAAATATCTGAAGGCTTTCAGATTTTACATTACTCCCAAAGGAGTGTTTTTTTTTTAAATGTTTTGTGTGTTATCTTTATTTATTAAATATCATGTTCTTTGCAATTAACTATAAAATCCAGTTCAACAACAATATCGCAAAATAATTAAAAAAAATCCTTAATCCTTAGAATTTCTGATACAGTCTCATGCGTTGGAGATAACGAAGCCCCCCCCATTTGTTAAAGTTTTATAAACTATGAAAGAGAACAGTAAAACAAATACCAAATTCGGTCTTCCAAGTGCCCATGTTCGAGTGGAGTGAATATGATATTAAAAATTGGATGGCTCTAGGTACTGTTGTTTTATCACAATGCGAGAAACATATATACATTTATGCATATTCTTCATTATTTAATTTATTTAAATATAATACAAGGTGGCAATATTTGGTGGCAACAATTTGAAAAGTGGTTCGCCGTTTATAGTTTTCAATGCAAAATGCCAAAACTAAATTAATAGTCCTTCAGGGCAAATTGTCTCTTTAGACTGAAATTTTTCTTTCAGCTTCATATCATCTTGTCTTACAAAACCATTTAATAATATTAAAAATGTAGATCGCATCCCCAGATATCTGTCAATGCGATTGTTTCGCTGACAGTCCAGTAAGCAGTCAGTTGTAAGTCAGCCATGTCATTTGCTAAAATTAAGTGAACGCCGCAATCATGCTGTGCAGTATCGGAAATCTCCCCATTTGCCATGCTCCAGAGCAACGCAATTGTTTCGGTGACAGTCCAGCGAGCAGTCAGTTGCACGTCAGCCATGCCGTTTGTTAAAATTAAGCAATCGTGCTGTGCAGTATGCTCATTTGCCCTGCTCTAGAGAGGTAGGAACATTCAACCAAGTTCTACCTCCAGTTCCACGAGGCAGTTAATGCTTGTTCGCCATGTGATTGGGACATGTTGGAAGAACTGGTTTTCGCTACTGGTCGAATCTGCTCTTGGGAACCGGGCTTTAATGGTTTGGAAGGGGAGGGTGAATGGAACATTAACTGAAAATGCAAAGAATACATTGTTAGCTCTTCCATTTCAAGCTTAAGTGATAATTTGGTTCTTAAATGTTACCAAATTTGTGTGTGTAAGATTTTAGTAATAATGAAAAATTCCATATAAAGTAAGAAAGTGAAAAAATGCCGGTTATTTACCCTAGAATTTACTGTCAGGCTGCTTCTAACTGCAGCTTCATTACATAAAGAGGTAGTTAAAAAAATTAGGTGAACAAGAAGTTGCTAAACGTGCAGAGAATTGAAGGAATTTAACATCCGCAGGCAGTTCGTTATATATGGATAACTTGATGAACAGGATGAAAAGGTCGTTATAGCTTGGTTTGTTTCTCAGGTTAGATTGTCGTGAGGCATAAGAAGAATGCAAGTGGAAAACAAATTAGGAGAGAAACCAGGTATTGTTGACATGATTGTAATGTGACTGTGGGTCTACCTTGTTTTAAACTTTATCATACCTAGAAAAATTATAAAATTTAAAAAAAAAAAAAAAAGCGTCGTAGCTATTATTGATGCTAAATAAAAGCATTATTACTTGCAGTTAATGGCATGTACATTTCTTAAATAATCTGCATTGAATCTTTTATGCTTAACTTGGGTGTGCGAGGAAAGCTAAGTACGAGTTAAAAAATTTTGTACACAGGTAGCCCTTTTACAACACAGTATCCTGTAACACAGTTTACTATATAGCACGATTCATAAATTGCGAGAACCCTCTTGCAACACGGTTTCGCTCTAGCACGATAAGAAAATTATATAAGCCACCCACATAGTCATCTAACATATACTAAGGAAGACAAAACTTTTGTTAGTTTATAGATCTTTATATCTTTTACTGGTATATTTGAACTGGTATATATATTTTACTGGTATATTTGAAAGTAAATCCAAGAGCTTGGGTAACTGGAAATTTATTTAAAGACTAGTTTTTAATTCGTTTTGTGCCAGACGTTGAACGTTATTTAAGGCAGAAAAAATTAAGCATCATGGCTTTATTACTATTAGATATATCATAATTTGTTCTTTGACTACCATACATATTTGCTTTTTTACATCCATGAAAAAATTTTATCATTGTTGATATGTAAAATAAGCGATCATTTTTAATTTCGATGAACTGTGAAAAACTCTGAAATCAACCATGACCATTGAAATAATAAATCTTGATGTTTTTCAGATTTAAGTGTTTTTATATTTTAATAACAATTTTTATTAATTTTAATTCACTTTAAAAACTTTCTAATTAATTAAAGTACATACAATTTCCGCTTGAAAACATGATGTAAATTGCATGTTTACGCATTATTTTCAACAAGTATTTGAATAAATTTTGAACATTTGCTGCAGATTGGAAAAACCTGGATAGCTTCGTAACTATAAAAACACTAATGTCTTGGATAAGGATTATATAAAAATCAGTTATCTATTTTTATCATTTACTGCCGTAAAATACACAATTCAGCTAAAAAGACTTTTGAATCATTGAATGTATCAAAACAAGAAAAAGATTTGGAAACTAATCTTTCAGATCAAAAATCGGAAACCTGTTACATGTTTTAACTCGAAACAATTAGTTTTATTCATTTCCAAAATGAAACTTTCATGGAGGGGGAACTGCAGTTATTGTAATTTCAAAGAAATTGTCTTTCTGTTTTCTGGAAAGAGTATAGCAGCATCCCATGCTTAGTGTTAATTATTCTGATTTTGCACTTGATGTAACTTAAAAGATTTTTGAAAAATATAAATTATGTGAACTGTTACTCAAATATATTGTGGCAGTTACATTGAGATGATGATGTTCGAATTCAAGACTTTGTACTTTTTAAATTTTATGATCTTGATATTTTAAAAGCTGTATGTTGAATTTATATAGATTTGATATTATACTTTCAAAATTTTAAAGTTTTTTTTTTTTTTTGTACTCTTTCTAATGTGATGTATCAAGATGTTGAAGAGATTTGAGACTCTTTTAGAATTCAGATTTAAAAAAAATTAGTATTAGTCCCATCTCTAAAAATATTACAGATTTCAAAATGTTGTCAAACATTTACAAGTTTTACATAACTCATTTGCAATAAGAGATATTGTATTCAGTTAATCGAAAATGTGTGGGGAAATGTATATTTTCTTTATATGTATATGCAGACTCGGATGTCTGTCCCACCCTTCAGTAAACCGCTTTATGTAGCAAGTTTACCAATTAATATATTTCCAGTATCATTATGTGATATGTTGTATCTTCTTTATATTCAGAATCTCTGGCAAAGAAAGCATTCCTTTTCATTAGACAGCAGATACTGCTATAATAAATATTTTAACTGAAAAGTGTAGTTTATAAAATGTCCATTTTGTTCAGTTTGGCTTATGCCACTGAATTTTAATGTAAGATAGATAGCGAATTCTTTTATTTATGATTGGAGATCTGAAGTGTATCTGTTCATGCAGTAATTTAACATAATTTGGGAACTCTGATTGAAGTGATTTATCAATTGTAAAAAAAAGCTTTATCATATAAATTTTTGACATAAATATGTATGGATATTTTAATTTTTTTCTAGGTCAAAATGGCTCTTCGGACATCAGGCCACTTATTGTTGGGAATTGTGCGGATTTATTCCCGTAAAGCCAAGTACCTTTTGGCTGATTGTAATGAAGCATTCATAAAGATAAAAATGGCATTCAGGCCAGGTGTTGTCGATTTACCTGAAGGAAACAGAGAAGCTGCTGTTGCAACTATCACATTACCTGAAGTGTTTCACGATTTTGATAGTGCAATACCTGACATTACGTGAGTTAACATTTTTTAAATAATTAAGTTAATTGTTGATTATTATTTGCTTATTTCTTAAGGCTTCAAATACCTTAATCTTGATTGTTAGAGCAAGACTAGTTGTAAGTACATGGTGAAATTTGTCATCTGGTTCAGGTACCAAAGAGATTTTGCATATGTTAAATCTGTAACAGTTTGAACATAGGTAAACATTTTCTTTTAGGTTTTTATAGTTTCTGAAAGACTGGAAGTTTCAGTTTTGAAATTTTGAATTTATTGCATTTGATATTATACTTACCTTGAGTCCAGCGTCCTTGAGGATATTGAGGTATATGGATAATGTGCCCCTCCAAAAAAAAATTACACTTATATTTTATAGCGATTATACAAACAAGAATTTTTATCTGAAATGTATGTAGCTCTCGTAATAATCATCAAGATTCTTTTATGATGAGAACTGTACATTTTTTATGTTAAATCTCTTAATTTTGTGTCAGTATTTCATTTAAACGAGTTTAACATTATCAGCGTGAAATATAGAAGTAATGAAATTTTATTAAAAGGTTGTGAAAATAATGGTATTTTTTTTTTGCTTCTATTAATAATTCTCCTTTGATAACATTTTTCCATGATCTGAGAAATATTTTTTTTGTCAAGTTGGTTTTTAATTGTGATCACTTTTTGTTAAATAATTTTAATACTGCTTTCGTCCTGATTAAAAGTTTGATTCATCCGAAACACATATTTTGTCCTTACAAAGTGAGTGTAAAATATGAAATATAGATTCTAGAATATGAAAAAGTCATTTTCCCAAGTTGCTGAAGTTCTCATGCATTATCTGTCAGCATGAACAAGTAGATAAAAAAAGATAAATTATGAATTGTAAAATGAAAATATACTCTTTTGGCATTAAATCTTGGTAACAAAATGTTTGTGGAATTAGTGCAAATTCTAGCCCCAATGATTCTTACAAAAAGTTATAATATAGCCTACGACACTGCTGTTAATTTAACCGTTTTTCCCCACTACTCTTACTATTGTAAAAATATACTCTAATGTCTATTCTTAAAGATTAGAGATTTATTTTATTTTATATGAAGCACTTTTCATAAAAGTGCTTCATATAAGCACTTTTCATTTTCGTTTCTGCTTGCAATGAAAAGCTGGGATTTTTTAGTTTTACAAATTTAGCAAATGCTGAAGTAATTGCAGTAGGGCTTTTCAGCATAATACCCATGTAGTTAAGTTTAAATTGCAGCACTTTGCAAGTACTTCTTAAGCAGCAAGATTGCTAAATAGTGGGAACACGGGTTTTAGATGCAAAAAAATGGGCTAGGTGTGTGGTTCATTTTCATAGTCTTTGCCATGTGTAACATGAATTCAAGGCAGTCAAATTATAAGATCCTCCACGAAGGCATCCCTCCTGTTAGGGAGAAAGTCTTCATATGTGTTAATACAAGGGGCCATCAAATGAAAAGGTACGAAACGACATGGTGGGTGCAAATGTAGACTTTATTCAAAATATACACCATAGGCCTGAGCACAATTATCTTACTGATGAACAAGCCGCAGGATTCCTTGTTTCCAGAATTCCTGTGGCCGTGACGAGACCCAGTCCTTCACAGCGTCCTTGAGTACATCATCTGAGTTGAAGCGCTTCCCTTTCAGGTGTTTCTTCAGTGGACCAAACACATGGAAATCGCAGGGCGACATGTCCAGACTGTAGGGCGGATGGTCCAACGTCTCTCACTTGAACTTGGCCAGTTCCATGTGTGTGACTCAGGAGACGTGGATGCGCGTTATCATGGAGCAGAACCACGCCCTCCGTGAGCAGCCCCAGTCTTTTGTTCTTGATGGACCTGCGTATACGTCGGAGTGTCTCACAATACACATCGGAGTCAATGCTTTTTCTGTGCTCAAGGAATTCCACAAGTAGCGGACCTTGAACATAAAAAATAACGTTGAGCAACACCTTTCCTGCTGACGGCACAGCTTTGAACTTTTTAAGGGAAGGTGACGACGCATGCTTCCACTGCATGCTGTCCCGCTTTGTCTGGCTCGTAGTGATGGCACCAGGTCTCATCACCTGTGACGATCCGCTCCATGAAAGCGGGGTCTCCCTGATACCGAAACAGATGTTGCAGTGCTAGCCCCATACGCAGTTCCTTTTGCTGGTCGGTGAGCTGCTTCGGAACCCAAGCGGCACCCACCTTCCGATATCGCAACCTGTCATTAACAATTGTCCATACAGTTCCATAGCTGACATCCACCTTCACCGCCAACATTCGCAATGTGACACCCCGATCACTTTTCACTAGGTTGTCCACCTTGTCGATGAAATCACTCGTGATGACAGTGTTTGCCTGGCCTGGTCTCGGGTCATCACCCACACTCTCACGGCCTGCCTGAAAACGGTCACTCCATTTTCTGACAGACTTTGTCAGAGACGCATTTCTTCCCGTAAACTGTCACCATCCAGCGATGAATAGCTGCCGGTTTCTCACTTTCCGCTGTCAGAAATAGGATAACATCTCGCTGCTCCTCAGTCGTCGAATTTTGCAAAGCGAACGCCATCCTGTCCTCATACGGACTGCCGCATCATTTGGATGCCACTTTCGATAAGAGCCTCTGCTCTCTCCTGCGCATGTGATCGCCCGCGCATGCTCCGATCCCAGCCAGAGACTCCAATCGGATCCCAAGGTATCTCGCTACGTTATCCCGTGGCGGAATATGCAAATATTTAACTGTTATGTTTTTACATCGTTTGATCACCCCTTGTATATTCAAATAACGTAACGTAACCTAAAGTGCTTTTGCTTCATTTTATTAACCTTATCTGACCTGAGAAGTGTGTAGATATCACAGGAAATAAATTCTTTCTAATGGGTTTGTAGCTGCTTTTGCATCACTGATCAAACCTTGTCATTTTGGAATATAGTTCTCGGAAGTATACCTAGCTCCCATTGCCAGTGATATGCCTAACTATCAGTATGATATCAGTGCAATAGCTTTTACCTAGTAATGTCATAAGCATGTCTAGTGTCATGTATTTGCTGTACACATTTTGCATGTATTATCAACAGCGAGCTGAAAATGATGATACTTGATTTTGATGTGCTGTTTTCTTCACTTCATGTTCTCCATCGTTGCATGTTGTTTTCTTGTCTTGGTCCAGAATTTGCTACACTTATTGACACAGGTTTTCATCTATTCAGTCCATTCATTTACTTATGTGTAATTCGTACACATGAGTACATACTATATTGAATTTTCATTGGATTTAATGTATAGGTTTAAATCCTTTTGCAAACGAAAGGCTCTGTATTTTACTGTTATTGCTCTGCTGCACTGTTGCAAGACACTGCCATTTTACTAAACTTTTTTCTTTATTTCTTTGTATGGCACAACTTTTGGTAATTTAAGGTCATTGTCTTGCATGATTGACACAACACTGATATTTGTTATACAAACAGTTGGTAATATAATTTGACTGGTTGAATAATTCGAACCATTTAATATTTTTGTCTTTTTTCTTACATCACCTATTTGTCTAACATTATTATTAAAGTTTGAACTATAAATATGGAATTGTATTATTACATTCCTCATGTAGAATACATTCATTCTTTGGCATAACTGCTATGTTCAAATGCCGATTTGACTGCCTTATTGTTTGATTTGTTGAAAGGCTGCAGGCAGAGAAATAAACCATGTGCATGCATTTGCAGCGATATATAATTTGCTATGGATGAAATGACAGAATTTGCACTGTCACATTTGGAATGTAAGTTAAATAAATCACTTAAAACATAACACATTATTTATTGAAATTTAAGGGACATAATGAAATTAAGGCTAAGTAAAATGTAAGAAAAGAGAGAAAAAGAGAATGAAGAAGTCAAAAGTAATCAAGTTTTTAACTTCCTTGTACAAAATAAAAAGGAAGTATTGTAATCGCGAAAAAAAGGAAAGGAAAATAAGTTGCTGTAAATTAAGAAGTTTGCCAAGTTAATTATTTCTTGGCGCAAACTGAGAAAAATTTTCCAAGATAAAATTTTGAGTTTCTGCATAAATTTCGCTCCAAATTTTACAAAATTCAATATTTAGGCATAATTGGAGTCGTGGAATCGAAATATGGAAACAAATCGGCATGCCATTTCAGAAAAAAGTCCGATTTTGTGTCCAAATACCTATATTAGAACAATGCTATATATATAAATCTAATATATATCCTAAGTCCCGCTTTCGATACATGAAAAACACAATTTGAATTTCGTCAATCGGCCCGGTAGAACGGGAGATATAGAAGTGTCCCTTTTTACTTCCTTGTACGAAGTAAAAAGGAAGTATTGTAATCGCGAAAAGTTTCAGGCAGCATATTTCAACGAAAATATCCATTTTGACCACTATCGAATGCAATTTAACGATGTTTTTGCGTGATATCTGTACGTAAGGACAGAATAAAAGACTCTTTTCCTCCAAAAAAATTATAAAACTGCTTTAAAATGAATTCTGAAGATAATTTTTCATGGCGTCTGTACGAACGTATGTACGTACGTATCTCGCATAACTCAAAAACGAGTAGCCTCAGAACGTTGAAATTTTGTATATAGGACTGCTATAACATGTAGATGTGCACCTCGTATTTTGGTTGCAATCGGCCACTCCAAACGTATATAAATATATTTATATATATATTCACTCTGTTACCCGTCTCAGTAATCTCAGTTTCTTTACTCTTATATGTTTGTAAATTGTAAATTTTTTGCTTTAAAAATGATTTAATTATGTTTTTTTTTTTTTTTATTTTTTATTTTCCGGTTAAGGTTTTTATGCCTTTAGTAAATCTCTATGCAATATTTTTAGAATTATCAACAATTTTAAAGTTGTTTAAGTGCCACTAAGACTAATCCTTTTCTTGATGGCAGCCATTGTTTGTTTACATTTGAAACAGCAGACTAGTGGATTTCTTGCCAATCTAGAGAAACATAGCTTTGCAATAGCAAAGATAACGGCTTGATTTATTATTGCCAATTAAATCATGCTTAATACTTTCTGGAATTTTTTCGAGGAAATAAAGTGTTTAAGATTTACTTCGTAATTTTTAATATAGATATTTTGAGTTTTTATGTATTTTGCCTTCTCGTGAATTGAGAACTGAATTAATTGAATGAGAAATACTCAATCGTCTGTGAAAAACTTTCTTTTTTCTTTTGTTTACTTAATTTCTTTTATACATCCTTCTAGCTTTAGTATTTGAATAGAAACATGTCGCAACGATTAGATTATTCTATTCTTTAAATGATATAAATTTTATGCATTATGAGTTATAATACGAATGAAATATATAAGTTAACTGTTATATAACGAAATGTAATACTGTAAAAGTGAATCTAGCGCCAGAGTATCGCTATGGTAAACAAGATACTAGAGTGTGAATTTTAAAGAATGCATTTGTTCTATTGTGGTTTATGCGCTATTGGCGAAGTAGATTTAATTCAATCGAGTAAGTTTAAATGAAATGCAAGAAAAAATGCGTATAATTTAATATTCCGTACAAGGAAGTCATGTGGTGTACACTTCAGTTTTTTTTTTTTTTTTTTTTTTTTTTTTTTTTTTTTTAAGATCAGGAAATTAGGTACAGGTTTTGTTCTATTTAATTTCATGGTACAGGCTTTGCTCTATCTAAATGTTTTTCTGATATAAAGAATTTGCTTGTAAATTGTTACAAAACATCGAATTTTGAATATTTTAAGGATACGTTTTGCCTAGTCGTTTAATTTACATATTTCTGTTCTTGTATTCTTAGCATGCAGAAATGGTGTTTTGTCTTTCATCTAATAGTATTTGATCAAGCTGTTGCTGTTTGTCATAATGATTAGCTGATTTTTTTTTATTATTATTTCTTGTGCCCGTGATATTGCCAGCTAGAAATTTTGAAATTAAACAATGAATAGTGCAAAATTTTGTATGCTCTTATTCAGTCCTAAAAATTAGTATTCTGCATCTTGTTAAGAAAACTAAATGGCAGATCTAGTTTGTATGTGATTTTTAATCACAAATTTGATAGAGAAATTGAATTACCTTTAAATAGCTTAAAATTTTTAAAGGAAAAAAAAAACTAATTTTTTTTTTTTTTTATTGAAAATGAAGCAGCGGTAAAGAGATCAAATAAAACATCAGGTTTAAGTTTAATGTCTTTTCATTCCTAGTTTAAATTTCAGGGTAACTAGTAAGTAATGAAAAAAATGAAGTACATGTACTTTTAATATTATACATTTTATGTTTTGTTAAAATAGATTTTATTTTGAACATAATGGAAAGTTACCAAAGGTTATCTTAGATTTGAAATTAAAATTTTCTGTTACTGTAGCATTAATTAAAATTTCTCCCCACCAGTATAGACATGGATGCTCAAGTGACTTTAAATCAAAGCAGAGCTGAAGACATCACTTTGAAGGAAGACTATGGTACACTGAGTCTGATGGCTGATGATGGTTTTGGTAATTTTTTTCCCATAAATATATATATATGTATAGTGAAACATTGTTACTGGGACCAGGAAAAAAATGCTTGAAAAATTTATAAATTGACCAAAGGAAAATCATATTAAATATTATTTTCATGGAAAAAATATGTGAGGGCTATTTACTACCGATTAAGCATCAGTTTATAATTTCCATTTAGTTTTAAAATATACTTTGATAAATTAATGTAATATATACTTAATAATCTTAATTAAAATACAATTTTTCAAATTTGAAAAATTTTCATCATTAAGTAATTTTGAATTTGTTTATCTTTGGAATGTTCTGAAATGCAGTTTTGAACCTCAATGTTGATTGCTGTTAGTGCTGCTTCTATGTTCCTGTTGCAGAGTTGGAAACCAGGAGACTTTAAATTTTTCACTGTATCTTCTGTTTTTAAAATCACCTGAATTTAGGCCATGCAGCTGTAGAAAACTTTCATCTCCATCTTGGCCTGAAAAGGAAATTAATGTTCTCAAGAGTTCTAATGAAAAATTCTTTAAAAATGTATAAACAACGAGAATGATCTCAAAATGAAAATTAAACCATGCGAATCCTATTGCTATCTGACAATTTTTAGCTTAATTTTTTATTTCATCTGAACTGTTTTTATCCATAAATAGGATTTATAGAATAAAGGATTTGTATATAAGAAAAATTTCATTTGTGAATTTATACAGAGCCTCAAGTGTAATTTTACATAACTTGCACAGAGAATTCTGTAGGCCTCTAGGCTTTCTAAGTGTTTAAAATTTTATCATTTCTATTTAAATGTACTTTTGCTGAAAATTGTTCTTTATGTTTCCGTTTTACACTAATACAGTTTTGCAAGTTCCATTCTGCTTTATGGGGATTGTTCTTACCCATATGATTTTGTTCATTTCTCATGTATTAGTTTTTGTGGGGATTTATTTGGCTTCTAGAGGTCCATAATTTTGTTTGTATCATCTGCTTTTTTAATCAAGGATTTAGCTTAAAGATACTGTACAGGTCTTTTGATTTTGGTCTGCTGGGTTTTAGAGATTTGGGCTTAGGTGCCCATGTGTTTCCTGGACATAAGTGCTGTTAGCTTTTACCTGGAATTTGGCTGACTGGTATTTGTGCAGGTCAGTGTTTTCCTGTGGGTGCAGTCTTAGTGTTTTCCTGCCAATGCCCTGTACCCTTTTTCTGTTGATTTGTATGGGCAAGAGCTATTTTTAGCAGGTTGTAGACTTAAGGATGAAGACTTGTCTGCTTTTGATTTTGCTTTAATTGGTACTTTGCTAACTTTATCCTAAATTATATGCAAAATAATCATTAGGTTTTCTTTAAAAATAATATATATTAACAAATAAAAGCTGTTATTCTTTTTCTCAGGATTTCATGAGTATGAAATTTAAAAAGTACAAAATGAATAAAGTTATCAAAAAATATTTAAATTTAAAATTTAGAATAAGTATTGCATTGATATATTTAATATTAAAAATCATGCGATAGCCAGTTTAATGATTCAAAACTTGCAGTGCAGGGGGATTTTAAGTAAAAATTTTCAGTTTGCATTTCTTTTGAAATCGTATTGTGCACTGTCAGGTCTTCATCAATCAGAAGAATAAGAATTCTTACATGTGGCAAAGTTGTGTTGTAAATATGTGGGCATTTCATTAAGCAAACTAAATATGCTATATTTTTGGAAGTCCCTTAACTTTTTATTAGAAAAAGGACCTAAAATATAATTCAATATTTAAACTAGCATTGAATTTAAAAACAATTGATGAATTTATTTGTTTAAGCCCTTCAGTAGTTAGCTGGGATATCTCCAGCACCATAAGTAATTCATGCTTTTTGATTGTTAGTAGTGCTCACCATTTTTACCTACCAATTTAACACATGATAGATAAAAGATAAAAAAATAAATTGTGCTTAACTGACCACTTAACTTAACTGACTTACAGTGAAAATTGCTAACTAATGCGTAAGGGTTTTGTTTAATCTCTGTGTTTAAATTTTTATGTGTCTTTAAGTGCGAGTTTCATTTCTTGACTCGTAAATAATATGATGAATTAAAAACAAATTGTATTCTTAAATATCTAGCATCATTATCTTTTATAAGATGATATATGTTATTACAGTCAGTAAGGTACATTGTAAAAATTAATTGAATAATCAAGAGAAAATATTTAAATAAAAATTAAATCATGGGAGGGGCAGTTCTCCAACAGGTTAGGTTATTTAATTATGGCAAAGCCTCGAGTGCTATCTGCCTAAGGGGAGGGATGCCTTCGTGGAGGACTTTCTAAGGGAAACTGGCTCGTATACACGTTACACATGGGGGAAATCCAAGAAAACTTACATGTAGCCAGCCCGTTAGCGGGATTTGAACCTCGGACTGAACTACAAGTGTTCAGCAATTTTAGCGCTCGGCCGCTGTTGGCCGTTCTCCAACAGGAAACATTCAGATTGAAATCAAAGACAAAAACAGTTTGAAACAGGAACAAAAACAATTCAACAAAATTAATAAAATTCACAAAATAGTATATAATTGTTCAAAATTCTTTGACATTTTTAAGGAATTTTTATAATTACATATTTTATATCTGTTGTGTTTTATTCCCTTTCATAGTTACTTTTGATTTAATTATTTTCTCTTGAGTATTCAATTATTTTTTGCAGCATACCATGCATTTTAATAATGTATGTCATCTTATAGAAAGTGCTACATATTATATCGTGCATTATATTTTCATTCTTCTATTATAGAAGAGTATGCTATATTTCAGGGGTGGCCAACCTGCGGCTCGTGAGCCACATGCGGCTCTGGGAAAGATTACTTGTGACTCTCGATACTTGTGGCTCGACACCAGTTCCCTTTTCATTTTTGTGGTATTATATTTTAAAAAATTGTTATCGTTTGGTATGTGTTTCAAAATGTCTTTTAAATTACAGACGTTAAATATGAAAGACTAAATGCAACGTTGTAACAAATTTCATTTCCGTCCATAGTCTCTTGATTTTTTTCTGACTCCATTTGAAATTAACATAATTTAAGGTTAGTTTTCCATTTCCAATATAATTATGACCCAAAAAGGCATCTGGAGAATTAAAATTAATAGAGATGCAAGAAGATCAAGCTCTACAATTAATATATAATTAATTCAGCACCAAATTACTGAATTTTGGAAATTTGTGCCAGAATAGAAGTATCCTGAATTAAAAAAAGGCTGCTTGTTGAATTATTTCAATATTCGGAACAACATACTTATGTGAATCATTTTATTCTACTTTAAAATTCGTGAAATCCAAACACGTCAGTATTAACTAACCAGCATCTCAAAGAATTACTGAGAAGTGCTGTCACCATTATTCACAAATTTTAAAGAATTATCAAGAGAAGTAAAATAAAGTGTTTAATTTTATATTTAAGTTCAATACACTTATTTTGTACTTTTATTTATATGTTTTCAATAAATATAATTTCTGTAAAAAAATTTTTAATACCTTTTTTGCATACCTTTTCAATATGTATTTAATATTGGCTCGCAAAAAATTTCAAATTTTGAAAAATGGCTCGGACTATAAAGGAGCTTGGCCACCCCTGTTATATTTACTTTCAGAGTCTGCTCTTTTACAAATTTTACTTCTTAAAAAATCACCAAAAGGTTAATGTGCATACTATTTTTGAGAAGAAAATGAAAATTATTGAATATTAAAAAGGATGTATGAATAAATGCACTTCTGGATTTCAAAGAAATCTGTAAAAATTATTAATTTCAGTATGATTTTTAAATGTACTTTTCTATCTGCATAAATTGTATGCTGCCATAAATCAGATTCTGAATCAAATGACAAGGGAAAATTGTGGAAGGAGAAATATGAAATAAAATATTTGTTGTAAATTTAATGTTAAAGTAAATTCCTTTTGATGTTCTGAGCTCCCTACCTACTTAAATAATATTACAACACATACTTATTTAAAGAATAAGTCTACCATTATGAAAACTGTTTGTTCACCAGTTTTTTTCCTCTCTTTTAGAAGAAATGGGATTTGATGAACCCGAGGCTGCTCGTGATGCAACAAATATGGATGAAAGTTTTGAGCATGCAAGTCTTCTTCTGTGTGAAGATCAGTCAAAGGAAAGGCCAGAAGAAACTGTTCAGAGCACTAGTAATACAAATATAGTCAATAAAGCAAATGTATCTTTAGGTGCACCACTTAAAGATGATGGCTTTGGAGGTGCTGTTGGAGAAGGACTTTTAGGTATGTGGTATAAAATATTTTGCCTGGATTTTGGTTACCATTTGTAGATTCTTAGGAATCTCATTTATTGTACTTCTGATATATGATAAATTTGTATATCAGGTTACAGAATTTTGATTAGTACACAGAATAGGAATTAGGTAGAATTTCTCTTTATGTAATGTGATTGAATAATGTAGGAGATAAATTTAATTCTTTTGTATTATGACTTAGTAGTTGTGTCAACAAACAAAACAATGAATGGGTGAAATATGGATTGCTCTCTACTGATGGTGAGAGATTTCCTTTATTAATGGAATCATTAAAGGAATATTAATAAAGGAATTAAAGGAAACTTATTAATGGAATGAAAAACATTAATTTTATAGTTTAGATAATTATTTTTTTTCTCTTCAGGTATTTAAAATTGTTGTTTTAGTTTTAAAAAAAAATATTCTCAGTGGTTTGTTGCCAGTTGTTAGTTTTTTTAAAATTAGTTCATTTCATTGCAGTCAGAGATGGGAACAAAAATGCATGTTAAAATTAATTTCTTGTAATATGTTACATTTTACAGCTTGACAAATTTTTTAAGCTAAATTTTGAACTTTATTTATTAAATATTTATCAAGACATACATAAGCAATTATAATAAAGAAGCAAAGGAAAACATTCAAGTTTATATTTTCTCACAGAAGTTTAAAGGTTGAGACCTGCAAGAAATTTCTGATGGTTACATTTTGTAATTTAAAGGTAGTGATAGCTAACTGTTAAATTTTCAGACTAATATTTATTTCAAATAATTCTAATGTGTGAATCAATCACTAAGTAACATACTTAAACTAAAAGTAAACAAGTAACATTAACTCTTCAAGTGGAATGAAACTTCAGGATATACAACTTATTTGTTGTTTATATATTAGTTTTTTCTTCAGTGCATACAGAAAATATTTTTGTATGTAAATATTTTATAAGCTTTAATAGCTTTTAGCTGTAACATTTCATGGCATTTTGATAAAGTGCTTAGCCTTAATAGGAAAAGTACTAGAAACATCTTTATCACGAATTGCAAATATTCACATGTCAGTCTGGTTCTTTTCTTTGTTTCTTTCTTTTTTTTCTTTTTCTTTTTTTTAATTTACAACTATTGGGGGGGGGAAAGAAGCTATTTATATGTAGTGTATTCCCAAATGAAGAAATTATTCTTATTGCAGAAATTTTAACTGATGGTATTTATCTTTAGACAAGTACGAATAAAGGGTAATCAAATCTACATCTTAAAATGTTTGAATAAGATTTATATCTCAGTGTAAATTAATTAGCCCTATTTGTCGATTTTTCTCGGGTATTTTCATACTTCTAGAGTGTTGCAATTGCATTACACACATCATTGTTAATGAATAAAGTAATGTAAAACTAGACTGAGAACCTTTAAAATTTTAAACCTGTCTTAAAATTCTTGCCATAATTAATGTCATAATAATAGTAATTAATTTATGGGAAATATATTTGGGGGCACATAGAATTGTCTCGGGGAAGGGGCTGCCAGTTTGAGACTACTGGTGTAAGAGACTAGAGCTAAATGTACAATTATTAGCTTTCATTGAAGAATCAGCTAGAGATTTTAGAGTTCATATTTTAAATTGAACTATTTAATTATTTAAAAATGTGTACAAAAAATAAACTAATAACCTAGAAATGCTAAATATATCTCAGCATCATTATATAGAATTCCTAAAGTGCTGAGAAAACATCTTTCTCGCCATTGAATTAGTTTATGCGCTAAAAATAGTTTTATATTTTTCAGGTATAAAAAATTCACCTATGATCAAATTTATTCTTTTTGATATAATTTCTTAGATGATATTTGAATACATCAGTATTTATTCATAGTTCTTGGGTGCATTTTTTCCCCTGTAGAAATGCTAAATATGAGTATGGACACAGAACCAGTGCCATAGTACCAGGAAACATACAATATTTTAGATTATTTAAAAATTAGCTAAGTATTTGATTTCCAAAATTCTAGAACATTGAAAGCATTGTAGCATTGTTGTCTAATTAAATGCAGTTATCTATCTTGCTATAGAAACTTCTGCATTATTATTACTATAATTTCAGACTAACTGAAAAGCAACAGATTAGAGCAAAAATTTTCATTTAAATTAAATCTGTGTGTGCAGTGTGGAATTCTTTTTAATCGTTAATATGAAAAGCAAATACAGAAAGGAATGTAATATATATGCAGTAACAAAAAAGAGCCGCCCAGACAGTATAATGGTTAGGGTAGCCTGATTGCGATACCAAAGGGCTTGGGTTCAAATCCCGGAGAAGGCATGGTTGTAACTGTCCGTCCCCTTCATAAGAGGCGATGGTGGCCCACCTATTAGGTGCCTCCATAATAAAGAGACCACCACATGTGGCCTTGCATAGATTAATGGACTGTGTTTCACTGTAACTGTTCACAATCTGCCATTAGAAAAAAAAATAATAAATTTAAAAAAGAGGGCAGTATACTCTAAAAATGCTTTAGATAGCAAGTGTACAAGATGGCTCGGAAGAAATGCACAAGGAATATTAAAAATTAACTAAAGAGAACCTAATCTCTTAATTTCTAATAATAATTTTATGTGTTTTTATGGTGTCTATGAGCTTTTGTTTACCGTTCTTACTGCAGTATGTGGCACATTACACTGAGAAATTTTAAAGCAATTTAGTGATAATCTTTTTTCATTTATAACCATAAGCTTATTTTTACTCTAAAAGTGTGTCAAATATTGCTTCGAAAGTGTGTTACTATTAAAAGTACGAGAAAAACCTGAATTTGGAAAATCGTATGACATGTGAATAAGTAAGTCCTGAAATGTGTGTAATGTCATAAAACAAAGTAACTTTTTTTAATGAATCTGTTTACTTTGATAATTTGAAAGCGTAACATTCTGTAGACTGCATCCTTGTTTTCAGGCTCTAGTCTTATTCGGTCTATCTGGTTGTAACGAAAGTTTTCCGCCAAAAACATTCTTAAAAATATCAGGGGGGATGAAAAGAGTACCTTTAGTGCAGCTAGTAATCACCGCACAAATCTATGATTTTCTGCCAATGTATTGGTAGTTTTTCAAAGCCTTTGGCCCAGAAACTTTGTGGCCACGAGTCCAAAAACAGTTTAACCTCATTTCAGATGTCCTGTGCAGAATGGAAGATAGTACCAGCAAGATGTAATTGCAGATGTTAAAAAAGGTAGAAGTCCGAAGGAGCGATATTGGGGCTATATGATGGGTGTGGCAAAAAATCCCAGTAGACTCCATACAGAGCCCAGCTGGTGAATGCTGCTGACCCATGTAGTCTTGCATTATCTTGATGGAACATTACCTTTTGCGCCGAAACTCAGCTCAACATTTTCCCTTGATGGTAGTGTCAAAACGGACTAGCATCTATCTACACCTTAATGTCGAATGTTTTACCCTTTTTCCAGATACTCTTTGTGGATAATACCATGACAATCCCATCAGATACAAACCATGATCATTTTGTTAGTCAAAAAGTACGCCAAGTTTATGCAATGCATAGTGTGACTAATGGACATGGCACTAACGTCTAACTCCTGAACAAGCTCTTGAGTTGCATACTGATCTTCAGCAAGTTCTCGCAGGCAGCCCTCATCAACATCAGTAGGCCGACTAGAGCACGCTGCTTCTTGAATGTTATAGTCCCTTTTTTTTTTTTTTTTTGGTACCAATCCATCACAGTTTAGTCATATGGTACAACATTAGTGCCTAAAACTATAGACATGATTTGGTGACATTTTGCAACAGAGCTGGAAGTAAATGATGGTTCTAATCTGGTAGTGTGGTAATTCCATCTCATTCAGACTCCTTGTACTTAATGATAACAATGTGCTTTTACAGATTTCACAGCACAGTGTTCTAAGGCAAATCTCTTTCTTTCAAATACCAAAATGTTGTTTGACAAAGTATGATTAACACGTTGAATGCTGCATGCATTTTATGTAGTTTGCCCATGGCATCAGCATAAATTTTTCATGAACATTCGGTGCATACTATGTTGAAATATTATCTACAGAAGATAAGGTGAGTTATATAATCGTGTTTAATGTGTTTTCCCGGTAGGGATCACCACTCACCCCCGAGCCGTTCCAGACTATTTTTGCGATTTATTATTAAATTTTTTTGTGATCTATTATGTTTCAAAACATTGAAGTAACAATGGCTATTATTTAAAAATTTATCTGTATAGATTATTACTCGAATTGTATATTTTTACTGTTGGTCGCGTCACCATTGGCCCCACACAGCACTGTAGCCAAGTGGAGTGCCGGCTACCGGTGACCCCCACGGCAGTCAACATGTTAAATACGCTAATGTGAACTGTTTGTGCAGATGATATTTATGTTGGCGGGAAACTTTCATTAAAATCCGCTAGTTTTAAAAATCAGTTCTTCCAGACTTCACCTGTTCAATTGAAGTAGCATTTACAGCTTGTCGAACTGAGGGTGGAATTGTCTACTAGGTAGGGGAATAGTAAATTTGGATTTTACGTTTATTTTCTGTTGCTGAGGTTACTTTATGCTGAATATCAGCGACATAATTGGCTTGAACAATGCATAACAAAAGCTTTGCTTAGTGTTTGAAGAGCATATAATGTTCAGTGAAAACTTGATAGGGCTCTTCAAGATAAAACCTTTCTCTATAATGCACTTCAAAAAATATATAGGTATAATGAAAGCTATAAAAGTACCTTATAAGGTATGTAAAATGTTAAAGAAAGGAAGGAGCACAAAAAAAAAAAAAAAAAAAAAAAATTAATAGCTTAAGAAACTAGAAAATAAAATTTTTTTATTGGAAATCATTTTGAAGAGTACATAAGAGTTAATTTCAGAAAAGAAATCTCTCATAAATTCTTAACTTGCTGAAGTATTGCAGAAGTTATTCTTCATGGAATGCAAAGGAATATTAGAATAATTCAAAGAAACAAAGTTTAAATGAAGTGCAGCAAAAAGAGTGTATAATTTAATAGGCCAGACAAGCAAATTTTGTGGTGACCACAGATTTTGCTAATACTGCAGTTACATTCATTAGTCATCTTTCAGTCTGATATGGTATTTCTTATTTGTAATGTATATACAAGCTAGTTTCCCTTAAAAAGTCTTCCAGAAAGGCATTCCTCCTCTCTTAGCCAGGTAGCCTTTGATGCTTTACCTTAATCAAATAAATTGGAACTTTCAATCTGATGGATCCTTGATTTGTGATATGCTGTTTTAGGACAGACAGCATGAAAGAGGGCAGCAAGAAATAGAACATTAAAGAATAGCATAGGAAATGCCAACTCTCTTACCAGATTGGAAGTTAACACTGCAGCTGTGAAAGGGGGTGTTTTCAATTAAATTCAAAGATTTCTATCTGTTCTTGGTTCTGATCAAAAATAAGTTTTTGAGGTTCAAGAAATGAAAAAATGCAAGTGGATATTATGAACATTTGCAATTTTTCTTCATAACATTCATTCACATTCTATGTGGATATGCATCAGCTCTCTACAGGTGTTACTTCCTCATGTTAAATATATTTGCGGAAAAGAGTATTAGGTATTGTGCTAATGAGAATTATGTTTAAAGAATGATTTTGTGTAATATTAATGAAATTGAACCTGTGTAAAATTTAAAAAATATGTATTTGGAATGTGTGAAAGCCAGTCAAAACATATTTCATGTTGTTTGTGCAGTTATTGAAATTAGAGTAGTACTTACAGGTTCAAATAAAGTTGACATTTCTCTGTAACATAAATAGCTGCCCTGCCAGGATAGTGGTTCATGTTGCTGATTGCCATACCTATGGGTCCAGCTGAATGTAATAGTGTCTCTGTGGCAAGAGGGCATGTAAAATACATGGTAAGCAACAGTCCTTTCAAGAGCTTGGTATTTGAGAAAGAGGGAAAAGACTCAGACTGCCCCCCCACCCAGGGTGTTCTTCAGTGTGGCAAGTTTTGGTGGGACCTTTTGTACAACCGGTGACAAAAATTCTGGTATCCTTCTTACTTGTACCAGTAATCTAAATACTGTAAATTTTATAGTTAATGTTTGATAAAAGGTTAGTCTTCAGATAAAACACTTCATTTTAAAGGTTTATTTATTTGAATATTCCTAGTTAGAGTAAAGCATGACTTTTTAATTCCAGAATGTGCATAGTGATCCTCTGACTTGAGTAACATGCTGTTTACTTAAATTTGCAGTTACACAAGGACTGAATAGCTATAACATTCAAATTAAAAAATCTGCCAGTGGAAAGCAAGAACTCAGTAAAACAATTCCTCCATTTCCTGAACTGCAGTATTTCTTGCAGTCAAACAATATTCCTTTGATTAGTCACTTTTTTACTACCATTAAGGGGTGTTGGAACATCAAAATCTTCAAAAAATTGTGATTTCGGATTTTTACATTTTCAAATTCTCTATACTTTTATCTTTCCAAAGATACCATTCTTTAATCTCTATGAAAATTAGAACTGTAAAAAAATCTAGTTTTAATTTGTCATCTACTGCTTTGAATCAATGAGGATTTTTAGATAAAAATGTGCTTTTCTCAAACGTGATTTTTTTTACTCCGTGTACTTTCTCAGGAATACTGCCACAGGATCTAACTTTTTATGCTTATTATTAGGTTCTCTTAATATTTACTGAAATGAGCTTTTTGTAATAAACTTAGAAAAAAGTTTTAATTTTTTTGTGTGAGAAAAGTGCTAAATTTTACTATGCCTAACAAAAATTCTGTATTACTCTAAAATTCAAATGCTTCAAAAGCTCATTTCAGTATAATCAGATAGGTATACTTTAATTACAGAAAAAAATTTCAAGCTTGTATCTACAGTAGATTTTGAGAAAGGGTACATCGAAAATGTCCAATTTAACATTGTCAGTATAGGGGTTTCTGATACCCCTTAATGTATGTATAGTTTATTTAGCATTGAAATGGATCTGAAATGCAAAATCAGTGTGCTTTTTTAAGCAATTACATTAGAAATTGAAAACATAATTTATATGTAAATAATAATAATGTATTTATTTGTAATTTATATGTAAAGGGAAAATATATATAACAGTAGCTTAGGCTGTAAATCAACCTATTTTGACACTGAATTGTAAAAGATAAAGTTCACATTTTTTAAAACGTAAAAGATGCACTAATGTTGAAGGGCAGGAACATTACTGAGAAAATCCTGGATACAGTTTTATAGATGGAGAAATTTTAGGGATGTCTCACTCGATTAAAGATCTGATGCAGAAGCATATGCCATTAAGTTTTCTGATTATCCAGAAGGTTTGGTCTTTATGTAAACAAGAGAAGGATGGCGTCTGAACAAGTGGTTGACGAATGTTCTAACGTGTCTCATCACCAGGGTTGCATCTTCAACACTGAAAGGGGGAGGAAGTTGCTGAAAAAGAGCATTTTTCTTCACAGCTTCTATCTTGTCAACTTTCTCACCTCAGATCCACATTGCCTGTCATGAAGCCCCCCCCTTTTTTTAAATTTTATTTCAGTTTGCTTTTATGTTCTTTTTGATAATTTTCATACTTTTTAAAGTAAATAATGCTCCGTGATGTTTCTTTTATGAAATACTGTGCAAATCCATACATGCATATATTCATGTTTGCTTATAATAAATATTGCAGCCTTTTTTGAAGTTTCACTTAAGCAAATGATAATAATTTGAGTAAGGGTTTACAGAATGTGTTGCCTATGAAACTGTATTTTAACCATAACATATACTAATCTTTTAATTTTAAATAAAGTGTATTTTTATGCTTATGTTTTTCTTTGTAGATGGGGAGACTGGTGGTCTATTCGAACCAGCTGGGTTATTTGATGATGCACCTCTCGGACATGTTGCTTTAGAAAATAGTGCGGCAGACCATGTTGATGGCCATGGTATTGAAAAGACAGGAGAGCATCATCGGGATGATGATAGTGATGATGATATGTATGGTATGTATAGTATCTTCATGTTATTTGATAAAATTAAATACTTTTAGTGTAGAGAAATGCCACAAAGCAAGGTATATATAAGATTTAAACTTCAAATTCAATCTGTAAGAAGAATTGCTAAGAACTCTGAGCCATTTGAATAGCATTAGCCACTTATCCATTCAGGAGATTTATTGTTATATATACCATGTTATAGAAGTGCTGACAGTCCTGTTTTCATTCTGCAGTCCTGCCAGCATGAATTATAATACATTTCTCCTCACTAATTTCTAATGTTTTTCCTAGTTGTCATTAGTTTGTTTTAATATTTCTTTATTTTCATTGGAAAACAGTTTCTGGTTTTGGATGAATTCTGAGATTTTCTGCTTTTTCTTTTGATCACCTGTTTTTTAAAAATGGAAATTTCATCTGCCACTCTGTGCAAGAATAAATGCATCCAAAAGCATCAGGATCTAGTTTTCCAATGATCATTAAGTGCAGCCATCTGCAGTTCATCCTACACACATCTGCTAGTCAAGCACAAGGCAATATCAGAGCAGTTGTTGGCATTTCTAGTGTAACTAAAGCTGTTGTGAATTTCATGTACTTGTTAAAAAAGTTTAAGGGATGTGTAATCTTTTATATGAGTTATGACTTGAAAAAAATATTCATGTACGTTTCAAGGAAAGTATGCAGATGACATTCTTTGCATTCTTTCATTAACAAAATATTATATATTTGTGATATGTACTGTTTGTCATTGTAATTTTTAAACTTTGCTTGGTGGAAGGAATGATTTGCTGAAACTTGCATATATATGTTAGTTGCATTAAAAATAAAAATAATAAATTTTTCTGCAAGATACAAAGGACCAGAAATTATTAATATAGAATGTTTTATTTTGTGCGTTACTGAAGCAAAACCTGCCGCTGTATGCCTGTGATGAAGCTGCGATTTTATTTTAAATGTTTTCCATTAATGAAATCATTAAGAAATACTTATGCACACTGCACCAAAAAAGGGGGGAACAGCTCTATATCTCCTGTTCTAATGGGCGGATTAACAAAATTCAAATTGCATTTTTCACATCTCAAAAGCACGACTTAAGATATATATTAGATTTATATATATAGCATTGTTCTAACATAGGTATTTTGACACAAAAACAGACTTTTTTCGAAATAACATAAGCATTTTTTTCCATATTTCAATTCTGCAACTCAAATTATGCCCAGATATTCAATTTTGTGAAATTTGGTGCAAAATTTATGGAAAAATTCAAAAATTTATCTTGCCGCAATTTTTCCAGTTTGTGCCAATAATAATTCTACATGGCAACCAATTTTTCTTTTCCTTCCATTATGCCGGAGCAGGAAAAAAAGGCACCTTGTTCCTACCTTTTTTACATGTGCCGCGGAGAAAAAAAGCAGCCTAATACTTTTAAAAAAAATTTTAGCAAATTTTTAGTTTTAGAACCACATTTGATGTTTATCACTTTAACAATATGTCAAATTTCAAAACACGCCAATATATAAATTCATGTACATCTTCGGAAATTTTGAATAAAAAAAACTCAATTTTTTGCAGGTGTGCTTACAAATAAGTCTACTTTAAGATAATGGTAAAAATTTTATAGATTATAATTCAAAATGTTTTTGAAAAATTCATAAAAATTATTTAAAAATAAAAAATGTAAAGGTAAATCATAAAAAATGGGTGAATTTTATTTGTAAAGAACCTGAATTTTGAAATGTGAAAGGAAGAATCAAATAAGTTTAATAAAAAAAAAAAAGAGAAATTAATATATGTATACCAATTGCAATTAGTTCTGAGGAGCTAAAATTTCGAGAACTGATTTTTTAAAAACTACTGGTGCAACTTTTACAAAACTTGGTAGTTTGGCGTAATTTGAGTTGTAGAATTTAAATATGAAGGGGGGGGAAGTGTGTTATTTCAGAAAAAGTACTATTTTGTGTCAAAATACCTATATTAGAACAATGCTATATCTAATACACATCCTAAGTCGTGGTTTTGAGAGATGAAAAACGCGAGTTTCATCAATCGACCCAGTAGAATGGGAGACATAGGACTGTCCCCCCCTTTTATGGCGCAGTGAACAAGGATAAAAATGAGTGCAACTATTATATAAATGGGTATGAACACCCATGCACAGTTGTCGACTGCATTAAAATAATTCCTTTTTTACCTTTCTGTAATTGGAATGCTATAATGTTGATGTTGAACTGAATCCAGTTGTTACTTTTGGATTTGAACTGAATTAAGTTGTCTCTCAAAATTTGAGTGCAGTTTACTTTGTGTCCCCACTCTGGAACAGGTCTTTACAGGTTTGAATATAGCCCTGCTCATTATTAAAATGTGAGCACAAACTGCTGAATGCTTTTGATAACACTGTGGTTTTATTTTAAAAAATCCAACCTAGCCAGCAGATGTTTTAAAGTGAAATACAGGAATCTGTTAAGTGGGAGAAATGTCTTATTTTACAGAGCATACTTTCCTTTTTGTTAAGTAGCTTATTCATCATTCCTAGACTTAGTCAAAAAAATTTCTCAAAAAAGAGCCCCCTCCCCTTTCTGGTATTAATCCCTAGGTCTAGATCTGGTAGTAACAAAAATTTCTCATAGTGCAGATTATTTTTAACAAGCACAGATGTATAATGTTCTTGTAATAACATGCAAGTCTGTCTCATTGTGAAAATCTCAGATTGCGCATTGAAGTGCATTATTTGACAAGAAAATACCTTTTTAAACTGGGTTAAATTTCAATAAATCAAATTTTAAATGAAGTTAATAAATTGTTTGAAATTCCTTTGCATCTCATGAAACCAAGCCCTGCTTCAGTTAGTACCATCCAGATTGAGAGAAGTGCCATGCCAAATAATTTATGATGGAATAGGCATTTGACTCTTGTAAAGTAAGTAACATATTGGAACAGTTGACCTATGTTAGAATGTAATTTGAATAATATATATTAACAAATTACCCACACACCATCAGTAGTTCATTGCAACTAAATCACAAGATTTCGTAGATATTCAGATATTAAAATGAAAATTATTTCAGCAATATACAGCTAAACCAGTCTTCATCTTTTAAAATGTTTATTGTAAACATTCACGTATAGGTTAGTATATACACCGGAAGAATAAGAGCATAGACAAATAGATTAACAGTTGCTTATGCTTTCTTATAGTTGCGAATTTCGGAACAGGAGAATATTAGCTTAAAATTTGATTATCTTTCTCTGACATTTAAATCACGTCCTTGTTGTTTACCATTTTATTTGAAGGATTCCAATCATTAAGTTAATGTTTCTCCTCATCAGCATTTACCCACAGCATGTTGTCATCTGCACTGGACATTGCATTTTAAAAATAATTCTTTAGTAGTTTCAACTATGCATTTAAAATGGAAGTGAAGCAAGGTATCTAGTGATGGAGCTTGTTTAACTTAAAATAGTCTGGGTATAATTCCATGTGGTCAGAATTTATGTGTCCTCATAGACCCTTCTGGGTCTGAATATTTCATAATCAACAATAGTTATCATGTTCATAGTTTTTCATAACTAGCAGCATAAAAATTCCGTAAATTGTGGGGTAAAATTTAGCCCTGACATATAATTTAGGAAAATTTTTCCAAATGCAGATGATGAAAATGAAGCTGAAGTTTATTTTTTAACCCTTCTTAGAGGCATGTCAGCTACAAAAATATGCCTGAAATATACCTAGGAACATACAAAATGTTAGAATCAGCTTTTGACAGCTTTTGCTGCTTTTTTTCCAGCTATGAATATATATGTAATTATAGCTATCTTATGTCTGGTATTATGAATGCCTTAGGAAAATGTAGTTTAAAAAAGTACCCTTACTGCACTTATTGCATTTATCCATCTTGTTTGTTAAGTCTGACCAAGTCATCCATGCATATCTTTGCTCCTGATTGTGCTATCTGCAATCAGATAATAGTTTTTTAAGCATCACTGTATGTTTTAGTAGGTTAATTTAAACATACAGTCAAAAACTACTGAAATGAACTTCAAGGGACTGCAAAAGTATTTCATTACCTGATCTAATAAGAAAAAAAGCAATGAACTGGCAAAATAGTGTAAAAATTGATGGAATAGCATTGTCACATCTTTCTGAAGCAGTTAATAATATCTGTAATTAAAAAAAAGTTAAAATTTATGATTATTATTATGTGCAATTCTACACTTTTTCATTGCTTTTCAGTGTTACCGTAAATAAATAATTTTATCGTTGAGCTCTGTCATTCTAGTTACACAACTCTATCTGAAATGCATGTTTACCATTATGTATAAACAGCAGTCTAGAACAGAGTGCTGTCTGACAGCTCAGTTTAGGAGCTAAATCAGAATAGATTCAAGCTCTTCGTCTCAATGCATGACACAGTAGGATCTCCTAAGGTATGTTTATTATGTGGCCTGGTTTTCCTGCCCTTGATTAACTTTTTTTTTTATTAGAACAGAAAGTTTTGAGTAAGATTAAAGAACAGTAACCTAAAGGTGTTTTTGTTATTTTAATACCCTAAACAGGATGAGTTTAATAATTAGTAATTTTTCACTTAAAAAGAAATTCTGGGAAAAACAGTTGAAAAATTCAAAATAATTTTAGTCTAAGATACCCAGAAAGTTTTTTTATATCCAATTTTAATACATTTGGAAGTTCACCATTACCGTGTAAAGCAACATCAAATCTGCTGGATATTGGACAAAACTCAAAACATGTATTATGTCCAGGGCTCATTATATGTTTGGTTCACTATAGCATTCTTTGACTGTGTTTGAAAATCTGTAATACGAGTTTTGTTGTTGTCTACTTTGTTACTGCCTTAACCCTTTTGAGATGGAATGCCTTTAAGACATTCCCTCAGGACTGATGGGAATCAAGGGTTTGTCCCACAAGATGTGGTTTTTGTGTCGCTAAGCCTGACTTTAGGGTTAAAAAAATCACAAAAAGTTTTAATTCCTGACGTCATAATTTTTGGTACTATTTTAGATTTTTACTTAAGCTGTCATATATGTTTAAATTAAAATTTAAAATAATCTTTTTTACATGAAAGAATATAAAATAAATTTCTGTCCTTGAGGAATAATTTTCAGAAGCACTATTCAAATTATTCCGAAATTTCAATTGACAAAATATATAAGTAAACCTTAAAATTAATAAAAAAGTCAAGAAAGACAATTTACAAGAAGTAACAAAACCTTTCATGGGAAGTGGAAGCCTCACTGTTAGTTCAGACAGACACTCAATGAGTCAGTCTCTAGAAAATGAATCATCACTCCCATCCATGTCACTGATTGGCTCATTTACCATGCAAATATATCTTTCCTTTGGTAATGCTTGGCTTCCATAATAAACTGAATTTGATTCTTTCCAAAATAAAAAGCAGAGTACGTGAAATACAAGTGATGAAAGCAATGCAAAGTGTAATAGAGCCCTCCAAAAAGTATAGTATAGTAGCAAAAAAAGAATAAAAATGGATTTGAAGGGATATAAAAAGTGTGAAAGTTTATGACTTGCAAGTTTAAGAGCTCGAGCTCTGTTTGTTTACATTATGCCTCCCCTCCCTTCCCCACAACAGCTCACACCAACATTATGCAGAATGTGATCAAATTGAAGGTCAGGATCCTAAAACTATTAAGTTCAAAAGTAATGGATGCAGAATGTCATCTAGTAGTGTTTGAAAATTGTGTCAGATTAAAATGCATATGTGCATCACCCATCCCTTGCATGCATTGAGTGATGCATGTGTGGGACACCCAGCTATTAAAGGCATTCTTAGGGAATGTGTAAATGGGACACCTGTCTAGAAAGGGTTAAAGACTACCAATGTGATGCTATGTGATATTTACTCCCAAAGTTAATGTGAAAAGTAAACCTAATGAACAGTTTTTTTTAAAGTAAAAATTATCTATAGTTTTTTAAATTGTATCTTTAGACATGGGACCTGGTTCTATGGGTGCACCATCTCCGCCATCATCTCCAGATTCTCCTGGTTTACGTTTGAATACAGGTGGTATTTCTGAATCGGATCGTCTTGGACACGGTACTGCTGCTAATGGATTAAACATTAGGGGTCTTCCTTCTGGATCTGATCCAGATCTGGGAATTAACGACATGCCTCCACCTCCAGTACCCTCTCTCTCATCTTTGGATCATACGACTTTAATAAATAATGAAGAAGAAAGCTTTGCTCTTGCACCTTTAGATGCAACTATTGTTCAAGGTAATTTTGCTTAGAATAGTGCTATATGAAATAATGTAATACATGAATATGTTTATTGATATGCGGATGTGCTGTTACCTATCAGATTTGGTTGAAAGTGTTATTATATTTTGCATGTATTTATTGTGTGTTACAAGTATGATTATTCTGAATTTGTCAGTTTTTCCACTCTTGGGGCAACTCGCCGTATCCATTGAATGTCTTTTTTTCATTGTGTTAAGAATAGAATTTTGAATGCAAATGGTTAAATTGAGCAGCACTTTTTTTTTATTATTATTATTATTGAAAAGGTATACAGTACAAAGTCCAAAATCCGGACGTCCATTATCCGGAATGATCTAAAATCTAGACCTCAAAGCCAGAAACTTTATATATATATATCTTTATGCATGCGTATTTCATTAAAAATTTCGATTTTTAATTTTACTTAGGCACTAATTGATTTTTAATTGAGTTGATCCTCAATTGATCCAATACCTCGTTATTGAATCAATTGAGGATAAATTTGTGAGATTATTAATTTGGCTTCATAGCTGAGTATCTGCTTGGCATACATCTCAAACTGAAACATTCACCTATTTTATTTATATCCCTGACGCTGACCTGGCGAGCCACTAATTATTATATTTTGCTTTCATCACCGCATGTTTATCAATACATGACAGCTTCAGTAATAACTCATGCAGTGATGTCAATATTTTTTTATATATATTATTATTTGAATAACAAGAGTATGGAAACCTGTGATGATTATAGATTTTTAAATGTTCTTAAATGTTTAAAGTTAAATGTCTTAAATGTCTATAATGGCTATGCCCATTTGTGTAAATTTTTTATAAACAATTTCTTCATAGTGAAAGGGGGGAATGGCTATAACCACTTCATCTGGTGGTTCATGGGATTTTTAAGTCGTGTTCGTGTTGACAGTTAGCTGGTTGTTAAGGGTGGTAACTCACATACAGTAAATTAAGTGTGTTTTTAAGTATTAGATTGGATGGTCAGGTTTCACATGACAGTTCACATTACAGTTGCTGAGTATGTATCATTTTAGCAAACTGCAGTACAGTGTTCTGTAATGGATAATGATGGCAGTGTCAATTATCATTAGTAAAAGGAACTGCATTTTAACTGCTGGCATCGTTTGATAAAAGCTGGACTACATTTTGTGTTTAGTACCTTCTCTACTGTAATCCGAAACAAATCTAGGTACGTCTGTGACATTTTGCCAGCAAAATTCCTAACTTAAACATTGAGTTGAAGTTGAGTCTGCAGTTAATGTGGCATTTTGTCTTCATACTATAATAAAATTGTCTGCATAGTGAGAAAGGACCATTAATTCTGTTCTGTGCATACCAAACTTACAGCACAATTTGATGATGCTTTTGGCAACAGTTTAAACTTACTTTCTGAATCCACTGTGTTGCTGTGTTATGTTTTATTTGATTGGCCGATTATTTCTAAAGTATATAAACATAACTTTTAAGATTTTTTTGGTCCTAGGTGCACAATTGTAAAGGTGTGCATTTTTAACAAAATTTTTATATTTTGTTAATGCTATGCAGTCTTTTAAACAATATCAGATGTAGTGGACTATATACAAACTTGAGTGGCTTCTGGAATTTTAAATGATTGTCTAATAATGTATTATTTTTTAAAAAATTTGAATGCCTGATTGAGAAAATTTCATAATTATTTTGAGTTGCAACTTCACTAATTTAAATTTTTGTTTTTGAAAACCTAGGATCAGAAAGAACTGTTAAAGCAAAACGAAAAAGGAAATTGATTGTTGATGAAGTGAAAAATATATCTGGGGAAGAAATGAAATCCCAGCTATCTGATACTACTGATATAGTAACTACGCTTGATTTAGCCCCGCCAACAAAACGTCTAATGCATTGGAAGGAAACTGGTGGAGTTGAAAAATTGTTTGCTCTTCCCGGTCATCCGATTTTGTCAAAAACTCTTTCAAGAGTAAGTATTTATTCTTGTAAATTAAAAGTTGGAAAGCAGGTTAATTAACATAGGCGTTTTAATTTTTTTCATAGGAGCTTCACATAAAAGCTCTGGTGAAGGAAATGCTAACCATAATAAGCTTATTCCTAAAGGTTAAGTTCTTCCTTAAATTCTTCCAAATGATACTAAATGTTATAAAGAAATAATGCTAAAACAATATTGAATAAATACCCTAATACTAAATACATTGGATAAAAACATAATAGTAAAATTTAATAATAAATGCCATTTTTTTATTAAAATTTTGGTTCTGTATTCATTGGCTGTTGTTGCTGACTATAATATGGTTTTTCAGGTATTTTTCATAGATGTTCAAAGATCTTCAAAACTCGGATTTTCTTATTTATGCTTTAATATAGATTTGCTTAATTCACATAATTTCATTAACTAATTAGTATTTCATGTATTTATGTTTACTTTGGCTCTTGTTGTCTCAAATACTATGCTTTCAATCATGTTTCTTAGAATATAACTTCCAGTAATGAGTCTGTAGAAATAGTTGTTTGCATGCAGCTCTAGTCAGTGCTAAATATTCTATTTTCCTTCATTTGGTCTTAGGGCAGCATATAAATTTGGCAGAAACGTGTTTTGAGATCCTAAGTTTGCTGAATAAAAATTTTAAGCATAAATAGCAGATATAAAATCATTTCAGCAATCCTTTATAAATAGCAGGTATAAAATCATTTCAGCTATCCTTTATAAATAAATCATATGTAGTCACCTTGTGATTTGAGTCCATCAGTTGAAGTTTTTTGCATTGAACCAGTATTTAATCTGCTACTATTTATATTTGATTTTGTTTTACATCACATGGGGACCAACTTTTACGAATTTTTTGTAATTTTTATGAAAACTGATATTTAAGATTTTATGTGTGCCCCTCTCTTCCCCCCTTTTTTCACAGTTTTTACTTATTTTTATTAAGATGTTAAAAAGTCTTTCCATTATCCTGACATGTCACCAAAGCTATATTTAGTGTCGACTTTGGAGTTATATGATCAAATTAAGCAGGAAAAAAAAATGATAAAACACAGTCTTCAACCTTACGTTTGCCATTATGACAAATCCTTTTTTTTTTTTTTTTTTTTTTTTTTTTTTTTTTTTTTTTTTCAGGAAGAGGATAGAAATGTTGGAAGATTCCATTATTCCTGTACTCTTACTGTGTGCATCATTAGGTTTAATGATTAATCACAGTTTTGCCAACTTTTAAAAAAAAGTTTAGCTTGGTAACATTTCAATTGATAATTTGCAAATTGCTTCATTTTCCCCCTCCAATGTGATGTCATGAAAGTTGTGATGATATAAAATTACATTGAAATAAAGCATTTTTAAAAATTTTTTGTTTTATATTAACTAATATCCATGTCAAAATTTTTTAAAACTGTTTGACAAAATTTTGTCAAGCCGACCTGTGAACCTGAGCTGAAATGGTAATTACAAAATTTATTAAGTAATGTCAGATGTTACTGGCATAATTTGACAGAATTCACATTAATATCTGGTAAGAAACAATATTACTCTTATTTTAACCTGGTTACAATGAGTTTATTAAAGAATCACACAAGGGAAACACATGTTGTGTATAAATGAATGGTGCGGTTTTAAAAATAAATGATAATGTATGACCTTACCTGTATAAAATGTATACTGTAAGCATTGGCACTGTCCAAGTTGCTCATGTTCTGCATACTCATTGCTTGTCATGCTTACTTCGCAGCCGCATCATTAATTTCCAAGATGGTGCCACAAGAGGAAAAGGCTTTCTGTGGGCTCAGTTTTGAGGTGTCCAGATCTGTAGTTTTAGTGCAGAATGAGTTTTGTGCAGGTTCCTGCTAGAAAGTGTGTGGCCCATTTTCCATCAAAGAAACTTATCGGTGACTTATTTCTAGACAAGCTGGAAACCTGGTTGTTACCCTAACTGAATAATTGTTATGATGATTACATTTCACCACTGGCTTGAGCTTCACTCCGGTTTTACTGGGCTTTTTCATCGTTCTTCACCAACACTGGATTGGGCATGCTGCAACAGCAGACAAAAACATTCTTCCGTGGCTGCCCCATCTGCCAGATTTAACACGATTTTTCTCAGGGTTTGTTAAAGGCCGAATTTATATACTGCTTGTGCCTTTGTCCCTTACAAAATTTTGTGGTTTGATAAAGCATGCAATGCAGACTGTCACGGTGGAGATCCACTGCACCATTTATAAACCTTCTGTACTTAACATACTGCAACGTGTGAACATGATTTTATATTTGAATGTGGAAGTGTTATTGTGAAATATCTCAAATAATTAAAATATATAAAAAAAATTAATTTGGATAAAAATCATAAGGTTGTCAGTTTTTTTAAGAAACTGATTTTGAAAATGTTTTTCAAACCGCATGTTCGTTTACATAGTTGTTGATGGAATGCAATTTTGCCTGGAATACGACAGACAATGTGGCTCTTCTCTATAGAAGAAGCCTGATTCAGACATTGCAAAGAAATAGTCGTATGAGACCAAAAGGTTCCATTCATAGAGAAATGGCGAAGCTTCACCAAAAGAACATTAATATCTTGCAGAGACCTGCTACCTGGTCTGTTGATGGAAGTAATGAATTTGGTTGCAATTTGTATCCAGTTGCTGCATCTTACTTTAATGGAGTATAAAAGATAAAATCAAAAATGCTGGTTTTATTATTATTATTATTATTATTGTAATACCATCACAATGTTTCAATTATGATTATTAATGAATTCTATTAGTTAAATATTCCTGGGTCAGATTTTTAAAAATATTTTTTGTATAGATAGTGTTGGTTTGTGATTAGCATATAAATGATATTCTCTAAAGAATTATCTAATAAAACACGTTATAGTAATATATAAAAAGAAAACTTTATTAAAGAAAATTAGTCATAAGAAACTTTACCGCATTCTACAAAACCATAACAAACTCTCTAGATGCCAGATACATTTTTAAACTCATTCTTTTTGCAATTTTAGAATATATCAATGTTGCCAAAGTATTAAAACTTAAAATTATGCTTTATAAACAAATACTATCAATTTCCCTCTTATTTGTGTTTAAAGATATAATTTTAATCAGTCATATCCATACATTAATAGTTCATCTTTCAATTTCACCCTAGGTAGATATTTTGTTAAAATATTATTCTTGATTTTGTGAACACACAAACTGAGGAATGATTTGATTCATTTCATATTCATCTTTTACAAAGAAATATTTTCTATATTAATGTGCCGTGAACTACTACTTTGTTTTGGTATTTTTATCCCATCTATTAATGCTCGACTGTCTGTTCTAATTTCTATTGGTTTGTCAATTAGATCATCTTGTCCCAATTCTTCAAGTAAAAAGATTTACCATTTTACTTCACATGCACATTCACAGAATGCTAAAAGTTTAGCTTCCATTGTAGATAGTGCAACTATTCTTTGTTTGTTGCACTTCCAATTTATGAAATTTTACCTAATTTAATGAAATAACTTCCAAATGATTTTCCATCTTCAGTGGTGCACCAACTTACAGCTGATGTAGCATTTAATTTCCCATTGTCTGAAGTATATACTAAACAAGCATTTTGTGTTTCTTTAATATATCTAAATATCCTCTTCTCGGCTTTCCAGCGATTCTCTCTAGGATCTTGATTATATCTTGGCAAATTACTTATTCAGGGTTCGTACGGTCCTTAAAAGTCCTGAATTTTTTTGGATCGATTTTTTGCCCTTAAAAGTCCTTAATTTCGATAAAATTCAGCAGGAGGTCCTTAATTTTAATCATCTGAAATTTCTGTCTGTTTTTACGACTGCCATTTTGATGTGAATTAGCATTTCGGACAAATATTTTTTGCAATTCATTGACAAATATAGTTATTTTTTAAATGGGTGAATAGTTTCATGGCTTATTTGTTCCCATATCTAATATAAACGGTGGGATACTCGAGTTTCTGAGCAAGAAGTGAAGCATAAGCATTTCGAAATTATTTCATTTTTTTCTAATGAAGAGCTCTTAAACAATTCCAAATTTGGGGATTTATCAACATTTTGGCAATTTTAAGATAAGCTTCTATAAAAAACTTTCAGTTCGGAAATCTGGTAATTTTTCGACGATCTTTTTTTAAAAATAATATAACATTGATCAATTTTATTAAAATAATGTTAATATATTGAAATTTTATTTAAGAAACAACATTAAAATTAAACAATTTTATTTTTCGCTATCATATAAAGTAACATTATTTTCGATTTTGACAACTTATACAATATTTTGAAAATGAAAAATAAACAAGGTAATAACTGCTTTCCGATTTAGCACAATTTATGAAACAATTCTTAGCAAAAGCAAAATAGCTATGTAATGAATTAAAACTGCCTTCATTGTAATTTTTCATGGTTAGAGTTGTTCCCGTGTCATTTTTATTAACAATTTAACGCGTTTACCAGATGAAGTAAAACCTCATAGGTACTTTATCGAGAGATTGCCAAGTTAGGAGATAAAACACGCAGAAACTAATGGGAATATTGGTTTGCATATTGAAACAAATTTCTTATAGTTAGGAAAGATGCTTAAAGAGAAGGAAATTGATATAATATCCAGAATGCCTGGAAAAGCTTCAAATTAAAAAGATGCACAAATATTTTTCTGAGTACTTTTGCTACAAAACGTTTCTTTAAGAATCAATGTCATAAATAACATGTATTTTAAACTGTGACATGTTAATCGATTGTGATTTTAATAGTGCCTTTTTAACAAATATTTTAAAAAACAAATTTAATAGTAACCATATAAATCTAAAATGATTAAGTAAGCTTATCTTAACTAGCTAATTCAATTATTTGTAACATAACTGGTCCCCCCTAAAAGTTATCTGTGCATATTATTGCCTTTCATTAATCTTTACCGTGGTCACAAGATACAGCACAAAAATGTAAAAATTAAGTGAAACTTATTTCTTTACATCTAGTGAGACTTAAATTAATACAAAACAGCTTATCACCTCTGGTGGTTTATTGGAACCTTAAAGTATATCAAGCCCTTGGCCTACACGATATCTGCCAATTGCACGAGCTATAGTAAACAAAGTTGGTCGCGCGCCGTGCCATTCAATTCTGTTCAGCCATTTACACAAACTGGAGCAAAATGTATACTTTTTCATGACATATATATTTCAGTGTAATGAAAGGAATTGTGAAGAAATAAACAATGTTTAGGAACAAAAGTAATTTTAAGACATTTAGGGTGCAATCATAATCAATTGATCAGTTGACAAAAATAATTGCATGATGGTTGTGATGGGTATAAGAGTTTGGCATGATGGATTAAGATATTTTTAATTCTTTATAAGAAATTATATTTGAAATGTGTGAACATAACGAGGCTTTATGGGAAGCTAAAGTAAAAGATCATAAAGTTTTGTCAGGAACAACTGAAAAAAGCAAAATATTGACATTAAAATCAAAGGAAAATTATTCAATGTAGAACTATTCCAACCGCTTGTTCTAAGAATAATAATATGCAGCATTTTATGTGCAAATTCTTCACAATGAGGCAGACTCGTGGCTTTTGTTTATGACACAAATTCTTTACCACGAGTCAGACTCATGCTTTTGTTTATGACACAAATTCTTTACCGTGAGTCAGACTAGTGGCTTTTGTTTATGGCATAAATTTTTTACCATAAGTCGGACTCGTGGTTATAGGCCAAAGGATTAACTGGGTTACAACCCCAGGAACTCAAAGTTATGACACAAATTGCATCAGAGAAGCCAGAGCACAACTAACTTGAAAACTTGCCAAGCGGGCTTACATAATTTCAGGTTTGTTCTGGTGGCAGGCCTCTGTCTAGACAAGCAGTAGTGGTGAGAACAGTCAATCTTCTGTAACCACTCATGCTGATTATAATTTTGCTTCTCATTTTAACCTGTGTCGTTTGACATAAAAAAAACATCTTAACTGAGCAAGTACATGACAAATAAGAAAAATATCAACATAAAGCTAAATTAGTAATACGTAAATAAAATGTCACTAATCTTATTTCAAATATGTCCAACTATTATAAGGGTAAAATATTTAATGCTACCTGATAAATTTTTATAATGATTTTATTCACAATTTTGTGTTATTTACATTTATTAAATTACGTTTAATAATAATGCATTCTACTCGTGGATCTATTTTATTCTTAGGGTGGTATCACATAAGTGAAGTTCAGGCATAGCTAATATCTTTAATTGAATTTATTCAGTTCTCATTTTTTGATGGGTCCTTAATTTTTTTCATTAATAGTCCATAAAAGTACTTCATTTCCATGTGCAGAAATGTGTATGAACCCTGTTATTGCAAAAGCTAAGTCTGGCCTTGTGATTGTTGCTAAGTACATCAATGATCTAATGCTTCTTGATATTTTGTTTTCGACACAGGTGGTGAAGATGCTATGTCATCAAGATTTTCACCCAATATTCCTGGAATCTTGACAAGTTTACATTCATCCATTTCAAAGTTTTTAAGATTTTAGTTATGTAGTTTTCTTGACTGATTTTAAGTTTTTCCAGATTCTTGCCCGCCCCCGAGCGGTAAAGATGCTGAACACTGGTAGTTCGGTCCGAGGTTCGAATCCCGCGAACGCGCTGGCTGCATGGGCGTTTTCGTGGTTTTCCCAATGTGTAACATGTATACGAGCCAGTTTCCCTTAGAAAGTCCTCCACGAAGGCATCCCTTTCTTTAGGCAGGTAGCCCTTGTGTGCTTTGCCATAATGGAATAATCCCAATCCCCAGATTCTTGCCGGATGTCTATACCTAAAAATTTGTGTGTTTTCGTCACTTAATTTTTTTGTGTGACTCAAATTTATCATATTATATGCCATATTTTCTAATTTATATTCACTAGTTATAATATTATAAGTCTAATTTATCACTTAGAGAAATTAGCAACGTTGTTAAGCCAAAAGAACATCAATGTTCTAAATGAAAGTTTATCAACAGAGGGGACAACCACGCTCTGCTACCAAATGTTGGTTTGTGATTAGCATATAAATGATATTATCCAAAGAATTATCTACTTCTAATAAAAACACATTATAGTAATATATAAAAAAAACTTTATAAAAGAAAATTAGTCATAAGAAACCTTACCGCATTCTGCAAAACCATAACAAACTCTCTAGATGCCAGATACATTTTTTAACTCATTCTTTTTACAATATATCAATGTTGCCAAAATATTTAAACTTAAAATTATACTTTATGAACAAATGCTATCAGATATGACCTACTTTGACTTGTAATAAAAAAAAAGTATAATAACTACTGAAAAGCACGGAGAAAGAATTATTCATTGTAGGTTCCTCATGTCATTTTATAAATATTAGACACAGAAAAAGAAACTGCTATTCATGCTTTTAAATACCTTTTTAGTGGATGTATTGTATTTAGAAAAAGGCACTGTACTGGTGAGTGTAAAGTACTCATGAGTAATTTAGTGATAGAAGAGGGGTGACCATTAGGTCCATTCCCAGGATGCTGTCCACAAAAATTATTGCTGAGCTGTATAGTTAGATGATTACGATTGTACTTCGACCATTGGTGAAATTTTAGTTGTCGCCTCTACTATATGTACCGGCAGTTAGCTTTGTTACTGTATTCTACAATAGAGGCATTATATTTAGTTGACAGATTGAAAGAATATTTTTTACCATTGATAAAGCTGCAATTAAATTGTTTTCATATATGTATTATTTGGGTTCTCCTGTAACAGTTCCTTTCTGTAATCATAGTTTCAATCTTTTTTGCTGTAACTTTCTTATGTGTTATGCAGAAGATAGTTAAACGTTTTTCCCCTTCTCCAGGCCTACCAGAGACATCTAACTACTCGTTCAGTTGATAATGAAGATTTTGGAGTTGAAGAAGATCGTATTGATTTAGATGCAGACATTCTGGAACAAGGAAGAGATGAAAGTGATGTCATTGGTTAGAAACTCTTATTTATTTACTTTGCATTGTTGAAGTGCATGCTTTAGCCATACTGTTTCATGTTTATTTAATGGTCGAGTGTTCCATATTTTATGCAAGTGACTGTAACTATACAATGAGCACAAGTCACATATATATGAAAACTTATCTGGAGGTGCTAGAAATCTTGCCAGCATAAATGGTATTTGAATTTCTATTGTTTGTTTACAATGGAATTGCATCTGTAAAGTTTTTTTGAAATTGTATGTTGTATCTAATTAAGTAAAAATTTGCAACTGAGAGCAAGATTTAGATTGTTGATCAGTAGATATGCAGGGTGTTCAGAATTTATTCACTAGTTAGAGATATATTTTAAATGATACAGAATAAGGGATAGGGAAAAAAGACTGACTGAATTTTATTTCGCACTTCAAAGAATTTTATGTTAAATAACTTCAACATGGGTACAATTAGTTGAAAGGAGAAAAGTTGCTTTGTTCTCAATTTCTTTCCATACATTATTGAGCATGTGCAGAGTTTCAATAGCTGTTTCTGTGGTGATTTGATTTTTGAATTCTTTTGTGCTGTAAATATCTCTGCAACATGAACATGTTTTTCAGGTATCCCCAGCAAAAGGTCAAGTTGTGTGATTTCCAAGGAACAGGATGGCCATGAAATTAGTCCACCTCTATGAATCCAACAATCTGGAAATATTTCATCAAGGAAATAGTGCACGTGTAGCCCAGTGACAGGGATTCATCCTACTGCGAAAAATAAGTTAGGCGGCATTTCTTCTAATTGCAATACCACAAACAATCCGAGCATATTGAAGTAAATATTTGAATTGATGACTGAAAAAAAGAAGAGACCAATCACTTTATATAATGAGTTAGTGCGCACAGACATTGATTTTAGGGATACCTCACTCAATTTCTCTTACACAGTGCAGGTTTCCTGATCCCCAAATCGTGCGGTTATGTCGAGTAACCTCTCCTAAAACATATATTGCTTCATCACTTAATATGATTTTTAGAAAGCAATGCTGATGTGGTCAGGAAAATTTACAGGAAATTCCTTATGAATGACTATCATTACGTTCGATTTGTTGACAGGTCTGCAGTTCATGCACTGTCAGTTTTAACCATTCAAGAAACGTTTTATGTACAATAAACTTGGGATTTCCTGTTTGTTGCTAGCTGGGAATAACAAATGGATTTATTGGGAGTGTGCAGAAACACATCCTAAATGGTGGAAACATTTTTATCACTAATGCTTAGTCTACCTGCACCTTCTTTACGTAAAGCATGTCTGGTCTGTGAAAACTGTTTTAACTATCCTTTTAAGTGATTGTTCCATTCATTGTGGTTCATTAAATTCATGTCAGAATCACATTTGAACTGTTTTTGGAGATTTTTTTTCCCCATAACCTGATGATGGTATTGCGTTTTCAATGCATAATGCCATTTTGTCTGTAAAAAGAAAAGTTCCATTGCCATTCCCCAAATTAGAAAAAAAGGAAATTCCATGAACTAAAGATTATGTGAATACAGTACAAAGTCAGAGATCCGGAGATCCAATATCCGGAATGATCTAAAATCCGGACCTTAAAGCCACGAACGAGAATTCTTTTTAGGATTTTTTTATGCTTTACGCATGCACATTTGATTTTTCCACCTGTAAGAAAACATGTATAGAATCCATATTCTTAATTTAACTTCAGTATCAAATAAAATACCTTATTATTGAAGAAACAGTCATTTTAGCATCAATTTGTGTGATCACTAATTTGGCTGCATATCTGCTTGGCATAAATCTCAAACCAAAACATTCTGCATAGAAACATGTTGATTTTACACCAACTAATATTTTATATCCCTGATGCCAACCTGGCGAATCATTATTTATTATATTTTACTTCCATCACCGCGTGTTTATCAACACATGGTAACTTGAGTAATGACTTATGCAGCAATGCCTGAGAAATTTTTTTATATTAGTAATTGAATAGCAAAGACTATGGAAACCTTTTATGTTGACATTATGCTTGGCAATGACTACAGATTTAACTTAAATGCATTAAATGTTGACAAGGAAAAATTTAACAAAAATTTCTTTCGATATATGCTAAAAATACATTTTGTTAATTATACTTATAAGCCAAAAGATTACATTTTGTGTTATTTGAATTAATAATAACCGATTTTTTAATTCACAATCGGGCGAGTGGTAACATCGCTGACACTGGGAGTTCGGTCCAAATCCCGCGAACGGGCTGGCTGCATGGGCATTTTTGTGGTTTTCCCTTGTGTAACATGTATACGAGCCAGTTTTCCTTAGAAAGTTCTCCACGAAGACATCCCTCCCTTAAGGCAGATAGCCCTCGAGTGCTTTGCTGTAATCCAATAAAATCAAATCAAATCAATCACATAAACCCAGAAATGGTGCCAGAGCTCGTATGGTCCCACTAAGTGGCATAATTTTGAGAAAACAAAATTTCTGTCATTTAGAAAAGCACCAAGGAACAAAATTAAGAGATGGTAAAATTTTTAGAATTTTTGGAAAGCAATGGGACCCAAAATTAAGGGGAGCAGAAATTTACAGCTTAGGAAGGTGCTTGGTAGCAAAATTTAACCCACAGAGACTGCATCAGGCGATAAAATATCTAGCGCCGGCCCTCAGTAAGCCTATGTGGGTATTTAATTATAAAAAATAACTAAATTAATATAATTCAGGCTAAACTGTTTCAGTGCTTGATAGAAGCAAGACAAAATTTAACAGGACATTTTGGTTTTTGTTACCAGTCTCATGCTGCATAGCCAAAAATGTATTATAGCAGACACTCTTAAGCAAGAGTAAAATTATGCTTTACTGATGCCAAACAGGTTTAGTTAATATCAGATTGCACTATTCTTTAACTTTCTGATTTAATCTAGCTTACTTTTTGCCTGCTATTATGATTACAGCAGTTTTATTAAAACTAAAGTTTGACCTTTCAACTCTAGTTCTGGAGCTGCAACAGGATCTACAAAGCAAAAGCATGTTTTGATGTCCATTAAAAAGTGGAATTGCTGTAAAAAATGGATATAGGTATATCCTTCTCAAAATTGTGTGAAGCGTTATGGCATTGGAAAGTTAACTGTATATGACATAACAGAAAAAGGAACTTTATGAATTTTTTGTGGATTCTGACACCCCACTTGTAATGAATAACAGAAAATTTTCCCCCATGCTAAAAGTGATGACCAAATGGTCAGACAGAGACGCAGCGAGAGTGTGCCGTTGACAGGTCCAATGCTAATGGGTCAAGCCAAAACATTTCATGAGGTTAAAATTAAGTGCACATATTCGTCAGATTAGTAAACCAAATTTTAAAACCGTAAAATTCCACTCCAACCAAATATCAGGCTAATATTTTTCTAATTGTGCTGAACCTAATATTTTCACTTATTGCATGCAGGTGTTAAAGGTGGAAAATGCAGGTGTGATTCAAAACTTTTGTATATAATATTGTTTCTCAGCAAAAGAAATCTTAACCAGTTGGGAGAATTGATTTATGGCACTCTTGCTTTTTCTTGGGTAGTCCAAATAATGGATCATTCCAGTTATTGGAATTTTGAACTTTACACTGTACAAGATTCTGTAAATAAGGTGTCTTATTTAGAGACAAAAATTATATTGGTCGTTACTGTTCAAAACAGCTTGCTTAGTAGTGTTTGTCACTTAATTTGTTAGTCTTAAAACTTTCTGAACTGATGCTTCCTTTTTGTACAGAAATTCAAAGTTTTCTTTTTTCGATATGACCTGAATTTTCAAGAAACATGATCTCGGACTTTAAAATTCTTGGCAAGTTTCTGTCAAGTACAAGAGTTTTTTTTTGGGGGGGGGAGGTTGCATATAAACTTTTGTTAAATATGACTGTAGGGGCCTTGGATTGTATAAAAAGATAGTAGTTTTCTAGTTTTACAGAATCAACTTTTTATGTATAAAAATGCAATAACATGACTATTTTCCCTATTTAAAGAATTTCTTTATACGTATGTCTATGATCTATGGTTCTGAAAATAGTTTCCGTAAGTGCTTTTAGGACTTTGTGTATATTGAGAGCTGTTGTTTGAATTGAAAATGTTATGAGAGGGTGAAGATGTTCAACTACATGACATTTTTAACTTTTAAGTGGTTTGTCCCAAATTGAATTCCTCTTTTATGCGGGCTGCTTAATGGGTTATGGAAAATTATTTTTAATATACCCTCAAATATAGGCCTGCCTGTTATTTTGTTAGAATGAAAAGACCATGAATGCCCAAATCGGATTTTTGGCTTTCATCCCAAAATGCATAAGGGGCAAGCGTTCATGCAACTCTGAGGACAATGTGTAATGACAGTTAGTAAGTGTGGGAAGAAATTCTTCTTGATGTTTTACGATAAGGGCCTTACACTGATTCTGACAAAACAAGAAATTAGTTGCCAATTAGAAAGTGAATGTACAGAGAAAGAGAACTAAAATTTCTGTTTTGGAACAGTTTAAAGAATAAGAAAATTAAGTTTTTATAAAAGAAGCTTTTATTTCATGATGAAACGCAAGAAGTAATTTATCATACAGTAATATAATGGGAATAAGACATTAAATAATTCTCTTTATAAAATTCATCTAGAGATGTATCATGAGTAATAAAAATGTGAGACCTCCTTGATAAATGTTAAAGTCATTTACTGTTGACAGTGCAATTCGACTATTTGATTTCATGCCATTCATATTTGATTTCAAGTGTTTATGCTTTTGTTGTACATGATATAAAATTGTAAATGCATTTTGAAAAGAGGTTTAATTAATCTTTAGTTCCCATTAAACTATATGCTAATATTTTTTTGGGGGCCTTTGCTTTGCTAAAGACTTTATGAGCATTGAGTAAAAGCTTATTTTATAAAAACCTTTATTTATTTATTTATTTTCAGTCACATGGTTATCACAGTTGCATGTTCAGGGAATTTCATAGCTGCACTTCTATGGTTTCAAATAGTCAAGACAATTCAATAGAATTTAATTAACAAACTGTAGATGATTTTAGTGAACATTAGTGCGGTGGAAAGTGTCCCAGTGTGGTTGAAAGCAAACAAATGCAGCATTCAAATTATACGCATATTCGTGTTATCAGAGACTGTATAGTGCATTTTCATTCTTAAAGCTAACCTTGTAAAACTGAAAAACAAATTCATATCAAAGAATTCATATTTTTGTTTCACAGTGATAAGCAAAATAAATTTTTGTTATATTCTCTATTAATGTTTTATTTCATTGTAAATGTGTAAAATTTTTCATTTACTCATACTTAATTTCTAACCCATCGTGGAAATTTTATGCACATCATTATTAAAGTTAAATTTTAATGAGCATCCTGCATAATTCGTAATTTATCAAAGCATAAAATTATACTGTATTTCAATTGTTTTGTCTTTTATTTTACATATTTACAAATGAAAATGTTTTTAATAGCTCGTAAACGGAGACGGGAGATGGAACCAGTATTGTCACAAGATCTGTCTCATCTCGATTCGTTGCATTTGGATAGTTCAAGGCCATCATATCAAAATGATCATGGATTATCTCATCCTTCCCTTGAAGTTTCAAATTTCTTGCAGCCACAGCATCATATGTTTCCTCCCATATCTGCCCAGCAAATGTCAGATCAGTCACAACAACAACTGATGTCTAATGTTATGTCTTCTGTCATGCCACATCCTCCACCTGCCCACATGATACAGCAAATGTTGCAGTCAGATGTAAACCAGTTGTCACATTTACCGCAGATGATGCACTCATCGATGGTAAGTTTTAGATATTTGAATAATTGTCTGCCTTTTAAAGGGATTATGGATGTAGGTGTAACTTAGTTTGGAATTGCAAAACACGGGAGTTTTGTTTTAAACAAAAATATTTGTTATATTCAGAATTGCAGATTGTAAATTACCTAAAACTTTATCAAAAACAAAATTTGACTGAAACTTATATTGTCATCTTTTATTTTAATTTGTTCCCATAGGCTTCAGAAGTTGACAACAACAAAATCTATTATTGTTTCACTTGTGTGTTGACTTTTTGACTTGTGACTGCTTTTTGATTGAAATAAATTGAGAAATCACTATTTCCTTGATAGCGTAATCGTATTACCCTCCCATAGGCATGCGAGTAGAAGCAGAGCGGACACCCAAGTAGCACACGTCGTTCCAAATTGGGCCGAGGGGTTTGCAAAGTGGTTGTGGTAACTTTGATGTCTTTACAGCGCTGCAACAACGCAAAATATTTGCTGTTGCATCTAGGGAATTTGACGACGTCGCTGAAATTGTCATGATATGACGTGGTCGTTTTAGCAATTTTTTCATAATTCATCAGCATTATTTTTAGGATGAAAAGAGACTAAATCCGCCCTTTCAAGAATCTGAAGTCTGCATAAGTTTTACTTTGCAATGTTTCATTACTTTATTTCATCTAAATATTATTAATCTAAGGTAGATTCATCTAATAAAATATAAATTTAGTATACTGTATTTGACGGCATATAAGACGCAATTTTTTCCCTAAGTTTGGCCTCAAAAAAGTTACCTGCGTCTTATATGTGAAGGACACAATCTTATACGTGAAGGTAATTGCATTCAATAATTGTTTATTTGGCTTTTACGAAACGTAAGAACGTGAGTGCGTCTTATATGCCGTCAAATACGGTACTTACTTTTAAATTATTAAATTTAATTAGTACTAAAAATAAGTGCTAAATTGTTTAAAATTTTGTTAAAATAATTAATATTTAAGATATTTTTTATAAATATTATAGCAAAATATTTAAATAATCTATAAAGTAAGTTATTAAGTTATTTTATATATTTTAAAAAACCATGCTTCCGAAATCAGTACAAATCATATGTTATCAATTACTTCACTACTGAAATATGAATTTATTTATTATTTTTGAAGTAAGGACAAATTTATTTGAATTAATATGGTGACAATATGAACCATTTTACCACATACACTGCAAAAAGTACAATTTTTGCTAAGAATATGATTGTGCATGTATTCTTAGATAAAAATGGGGTGATTTTAAGAGTTCCGAGAAAACGTCCAATGTTAAAAGACAATGCATATCCATGCATATTTAATGGCTGTCCAATATATATGACGGAAAATTCACCGACAGTCAGGAGAAGCAGAACGGGAAAATTAATGGGAAAAGAGAAAGAAATAATAACACTTTTCATGGAAAACAACAAAATTAATGGATTTGATAAAAATGTCCTTGCCTTTGTCTATGGTATAGTTTTCATGTGGTAAAATTCGTATAAAAAGCAAAGTTGTGCAAGTAGCTGTTAAATCCTTTCAGTTATAGGAGCTTAAAACTATGATTAAAATATTTCTATAGAAGTTTAGGCAGTATGGTAAGATTAATTTTAGTAACTTTAGAAAAGTAATCAAGCAGTGCACATTAGTGGAGTTTTACTGTCTCAATATTGAAATGACAGGTTATAGTTATGAGTAATTCTAGCCTCAAAATATTAGTTATAAGTTAGTGGGTTTTCTGTCGAGAGATATAATTTGGTTATAGATTTCCATAAAAACTGATTTTTATGAAGTTGTCATCAAGGAAAGCATAATCATACATAAATGTATTATAGTAAAAAGTTATTTTATTTGTTGCAAAAAGAGTCTTACTCACACGTCAGTGAAATGTCAACTGAATATTTCTCTCATTGAAGAAATTTGTTTAGTAAAGTTAAATTGTATTCTTAGAACTTTGGAAGAAAAATAAACCCACAGTATCAAAATCATAGCAATTTGATATATCATGCTTTAGTGGTGAATTCTAAATTGTGTGACTTTTTTCTGGTTATAAAAACCTGATTGTCTAATGAGTTTAATCTTTTAGTGGCAAAAATGATACTTTACATAAATGATTGGATTGACGTGCTTGATGCATGAGATTAAAGATCTGAGTTTTCCTTTGTATCATACCATTTTTCTTTTTATGATCATAAAGTATAATAGTAAACTAATAACATTTTTGTGTTGTAATCATAGCATTTTAATAAAATTTTTATGTTCTAAACACAACTGTTGATTTATATGTATTTTCTGCCTGTACATACTATTTTTGATTTTGTGTTTGTTTAATAGGTTGATCAAGGGCCACCACTTCATTCTATAACTCCAAGTATACACAATGTTCCTTCTCCTGTTGTCTCAGAAGCATATAATCAAGGTGTCCATCATTCAGTTATTGAACCAGTCTCGCAGCATCTGTTGCCAGATAGTATACCTTCTTTGCAAGAACATATGCAGCCATCCATCGATAAACAGCTGCCCAGCCATTCATCATTGGATGATCAAATAAATCAACAGGCTCTTCAAGATCAGTTGTCACAGACTCCAGTTGATCACCTTCCATGTGTGGAAAATGATTTGCATCCTTGTCCTGATGGGCAGCAGTTAATGCAGCCTCATATTGACAGTCAAATGTTGCAAACTTCAGTAGATGATGATGTTACACAACCATGTTTAGGTGAACATTATACAGAACCACATGTTGAGGGAGATGCAAATTCATTAACTTCCACAATGCCTGCTGTCCTGCCTCACAATGATCATTCAAATACAGCTTGTGTTAATGAGCAGATAAACCAACCTTCTGTGCCGAACTGTTTACCAAATGAAGAGGTCAACCAGCAGTCTGAACAACAATCTGAATCAAATCTTTTGTTTGATTCCTTAAATAATGGGGAGATCGAGCCTCACATTGATGAAAACCAAATTAATGAGAATGTGTTACAACAGAAAAATCACGAGTTCCCCCTATCTGATGATGAGGATGATTACGGTGCACCATCAAGTGTTGGTCCAGTAAGTATTTTAAAAGCTTCTTTAGATTATAGAGTGGTTAGCAGAGATATAATCTCGATTGTAAACAAAGTGTCTGTTTGCTTTACATGCTTTGCTCCTTCTGCATGTGTAGAATCAGTTGCTGCATGTGGTATGCCGTAGCAATTCTCAGTGATGAGATAGATGCCTTTGTGAGCAAGTATTCTACCATTTGGGAGGGAGGTATGCAGGAATCAGGGTGTTTAAGTCACTAGAATGTTTTGAAATTAGTAAAAAATTATTTATCATAAGGGTATATAGTTTTGCCAAAATTCATTGGGAATGCAGCTTTTTAAATCCCGTCTCAAAAAAGTTAATTCATAACTTAGCCAATAGATAGTTCTGTATTATCATTCTACTGTTTGGATGATATTTAGCGAAACAGACCTTACTTATATCATTTAGAATTGCTGCTTCAAATTTTGCTCCACAGACCCAGATATTGCTGTTGTATTTTTGATATCATCACATGCTTGCAGAATGAAATTTCTTGTATGGACCCACTTCGGTGTGAAGTGCTTGAAGCTATTGCACTGCAAATTATGAAGGCGTTCTTCTATTAAATAACGTCCAAAGTATGTGGTGACAGTGCAGTGCATGTCAGCTAAGTTATGAACTTTTTAGGGTTGCCAAAGAAAATCTTAAATTCATGGCATGCTTTTGTTGCATATTGAATCCTCTTATGATGGCTTGTGCATTAAATTTTTAATACATACATGTGACTCATGTTTGCAAGTAATTTGAATTATAACGCTTAATTTTTCACAATGCTGGGGAAATGTATTGCAAAGTACTTGCAGGGAAATTCGAATGCCTCGAGAAAATACATATTTTAGATCCTTATCAAAGTATTTTTCCTGTAGTGCTTATCGGTTTTCATCTTCACATGGATTTGTTTTTATTCTAATTAATTTTATGAAGTAAGCAGTGGGAGTTCAGATTTCATTCCCTGTGTGTTACCTTCTTTAGCATACTGCTACTATGTATATTATCTTAAAAATGACGTGAATTGGCATTAAGGTGGGTTGATAATGTACCTCAAATCTTGCATGTCTAAGAGTGTTTATGTTGGTGTTCAAAATTTACACGTTGCTTGCAGGTATATTTTGTTGTAAAACATTTTTGTAGCCTTGCTATTTCACAACAAAATTAACAAAAGTAGAGAGCAAAATAATTCCTTTTGCCTTGTATCCAGTGCAGCATCAGCAAGATCATATTCAGTTAAATTAATCCAAAAAAAGAGTTTGTAGATGGAAATTGAAAGGTCACAAATACATTTTATTTATGCGTGAAAATAGATTAAGATTCGTTAACATTCCAAATACATATCGAAAAAGAGTTATATAATAGAGTGTCGTATCGCTGTCCTTTCCTGAAGGAGAAAGAAAATGTGAGTCGCACAATTAACTCCTTTGCAGGATTTTCAGTTTACACTGTTTATTGCGCTGATGGTGACAGTCCATCACTATTTGCATATCCAACATATTTCACCATAGACTTAAGCATGTACCGTGTGTTTCTTAGTGACTTTTGGGAGTTTAGTCATTCAGTAAATCTATACACACAAACACCAGATACATTTAGAATGCCAATTGCCTTATAACTGCTGGATTGCAAATGTACTAAATTCATATTTTTACAAGACCCACGCTTAAGTGACAGACTTCAAAAAATGTGAAAGCACATTTCCCACATGCAGTGTGTTAAGAGAAGTTTCATATTTGATAGATTATTTCCAGAACTAAGGGGCAAATTTTAATAAAAGTTGGTATGGACATATGTTGTGATATGCTATACGCACACACACACTCACTCACTGTAGAGTCTTGTTCAAAGATGAATAAGCAAATTTTTGCTATACCTTGAAAGAAAACACAGGACTGCAGACGAAGGTTATAACAACCTTTTTATTTTACTAAACTGAACAGAATGTGCACTCACTTGGTGCTCACAAATGAACCTCCATTTGTAGCTAAGTAACTTGAACACAAAATACTATGTACATTCAAAATGGATTAAATTTTAGCTACACTTCTATCTCCTATTCAATCTAAACCACTTAATCGGCTGCACTTAGCAAAGCCAAGCCTAGAACATCAATATAATTTAAAGTGGCTAGCACCAAATATTCAGTTATGGAGCTACTTCGAAACACTCAGCATAAATTCAGAACTAACTCTTCTACCACGAACTCTTAAAATCTTCTACTTAAATACTATTTCCTAACTCAATTAGATTTGCACATATGTTATTTAAATTTGCATTCTGGCAGGAATTGAAGTCAGAAGGGAAAGTTTCTTAAAGTAAAAGTAATTGGTTAGAATGAAATGAGGTTTAAAGCACACCGTACTCCAGTCATAGTATACGTGTATGATCTGTGCAAGGCAAGATCTAAAACAGACGTTGCAAGATCGAACAAAAACGGTCAGTAGGATGTATGATACCCACATACTTGCATGATTTCGTGATGAAAATGAGGTAGTTAAAGAACCCCCCGTGGCAGCTGATGTTATTCCTGCAGAAAAACTTTTTCAGATCTTGAACTGGAAGTGAATTCAAGATCTTTCTAGATAGATATTTTTATAGGATTAAAGTCAGGTAATGTGGCTGGCCCATCCATCTGATTAACTCAGAGATCCGGACTCATTGGAACTTCTACGATTCTGGATTAGAAATTTTTCTGGATATTAGACTACCAGTTTAAATCTAGTAAGATGGCATGTAGAAGTTAAAAAATTAAGAATATGAAATCATGGTTTATGAAATAATGAAGCATTTATGATCTAAAGCAGGGATGAGCACACCTTTTCGGTTGCGGGCCAAAAATTGGAAAAAAAAAAGTTTGGCCATAATAAATTTTCCAAAAATTTTAAAAACTGTATGCAAGTATTACAATTTAAGTATGTTAATGAAATAAATGAAATTTCGTTTTCATTTTTAAAAGTTCCTTATATTGATGTTCGAAGTGAGATGTACTGTTTCTAAGGAACAAGGCTAAATGCTCATCTGTCAATTTACTTCTGAAATTCTTTCTAAGGTTCGTAGTTGAAAACACTTGTTCACATATTTAAGATAAAGCAAACGTAGCACTGATTTTCTGGGCGTGAGATGTTAAATTTGGGAAACTTACTTTCGATAATGATTTGTAAAACTCTTAACTTTGGCATATTTAGAAACAATTGCTTGAGATGATTGTTAGATTGCAACTCAATTAATTCAAACTGCAAATCTGACATCACTGCTTCAAAATTTACATTGAAAGGCATGATGAATATCTCCAATTCTGTTTGAATGGCACTGAAATCTTGAAGAATACTCAAACTGAATCATACTCAAAATACAGTTTTTTCAAGCCAACTTCGTAATTCTTAAGCTCCTCTTCATTTACTGAGGGTATTGAATTTAACTTCGGAAAATAGACAAGTCGTTCTTAGCCAGCTGCTCAGCAAACAGACCGAGTTTTAGTTTAAAAGCTTTTTAGATGAGCCCAGATATCGTTGATAAATTGATTTTTCCCTTGCATCTTGATATTCAAGATGCTCATATTACAAAGAAGATCTGTGAAAAAAAGTCTGAAAGCCATTCTGTATCTTCTAACATTTCACACTGTGCAGAAGAGTGTTTCTCATGGAAGAATGACACAATGTCATCTTTCAGCTGCCAAACTCGCTTGAAAACACATCCTACATTAAGCTACCTTGCTTTTGTGTAATACAGTACATCAGAGTATTCAGATTCGGACTGAAGAAAATCTCGAAATTACCTATGAAATTACCACGACATCAAATAGTGTGTACAAGCTTCACGACTGCATCAAGCACGGGTTTCATATTCAATGTGGATTTACACTGAGCATCATGATGTATAACACAATAAAAATAAAGAGCATTTATTTCCTAGGATAGTTTTGATTAAAGAGTCCAAGAAATCCAGATTTTTTTCCTGTCGTATTTGGTGCTCCATCGGTCGTAATATTACATATATCTGTTATAGGCACTTTCAAAGTTAAAAGCCCTTCCTGAAATTCTCGAAAAATATCACATCCCATTGAAGTTCCCTTTAAAGAACCCATGCACGCCAGTTCCTCGGTAATTTCAGAGTTCTCATTAATACCTCTTATAAATAATACTAATTAAGCAGTATCATTTATATCAATGCTTTCATCTAAAGCTATGGAGCAAAATTTAATCTATCCAACCTTTGACTCTAATTGTAATGTCAAGTATTTATTGATGTCTTCGATTCTAGAAGTTACCATTTTTCAAGATAAGCTTACAGTCTCAAAAAAAAAAAAAAAATTCCCGGACATAAAATATCACAAACTTGAAGCATGCATTGTTTAACGAACCCATCAGTGAGAGATTTATTATTTTTGGCAAGATTGTATGTTGCAATATAACTTGCATGTGTAGCTGCGTCTTGAATACTGTTTACCTTCTTTAAAAAATTTTTGTCCTTTAAACCTTTAAGAAATCGGCCAGATAATTTTTTACAGACTTTCTGCATTTTGTTTTCTTTCATATTTGGACATTGCTATTGCTTCGTAACTGGAATTCTTATGCTTAGTTGTGAAATGACAGGAAATGTTATATTTTTTGAAGACTGCTACAGCTTCATTGCAGATGAGACACACTGGTTTATCTTTTACAACCATAAAAAAATATTTCCAGGTCCATTCATCATTAAAAGCATGGCACTTTGAATCAACTTTACGTTTTTAGTAGCCATTTAGGGGTTGAAATATTTTCTGAATAACCCAGAAAACGAGCACTAACTACGCTATACTTTTAATAATTTAATTTAAATTCATGCTATATATCTACAATCTTTTCATACGCACGCTGGGCTGGTATTCCAGAGTTCCGTGGTTCGATTCCCGGCAAAGACGTTTGCTAATTTTTCATTGTGCCTGCTTCCAAAAAATACCTGGTGTCTACAGTGGCGCCCGAACTAAAAGGGTTGTGTATGGTGACTCTCCACACCCAGGATTTGGCGATTGGGTATCCTAAAATCCCCAGTCGCCCTTTAAAAGGGGGAGTATGTAAGGTATTTCTCCCGCCTTCCTAGCATGGTGTAGTGGTCAGCACACTGAGCCGGTATTTCAGAGGTCTGTGGTTCGATTCCCGGTGAAGGCGTTACTAATGTTTTATCTCCGCGGCCTCAAAATAGCCTAATGTCTCTACAATTTAACATTAAAAAAATTTAAAGAAGGCCTATGCTTAGCTGAAAATCTCAAGTTATTTTTCTTGAGTGCAGATCCTTCCACTGAAATAAGCCAAAAATTTGAAAGAGAGCTGCAAAACTGCCTAGCTCTGTATTGAGAAATTCAAAATGACCCATTAAGAACTAGTAAGCAAAGTAAAGTTACAGATTTTTTTAAAGATGGAAGAAAATGCCAGAACTTTAAATTAAGAAAGAAATTCTGAAAGTGAAAGCGATCTTATTTTACCAAAAAATTGTTCTCTATTGATTGTACTGAGCAATGACAATAAAGAAATTTATTAAACTAAAGTTGCGTAAAATTAAAATATGTAATATTTTTGTTTTGTGCTGTACATACATAAGTAAAAAAGTAGTAAAAAAGCGGCGATATTTAGTAAGTTTAGATACGGTCTCATCTCATAATTTATCAGTATTGTCAAATGCAAATTCTGCTTCATATTCCTGTACTGCAAACGTGATATCGATTCTCATACAACAGGAACAAAAATGTCCTTATCAAAAAACCAATACATTTTTTCTTGAGGTAAAGAATATCCTGTAAGCAATAATATTCCAATAAATCTTCTCATATAGGCTTCAGATGCAATAAATTCTGTGCCTTTTTTTTGTGTGTGTGTGCTGAGCGTATATATTTGTCTGTTCAACGAGAAGAGAGTAAATGTCTAAACCAAAAAGAAAATCGAAAATCTGTGCACTAGTTATACCTTGTATTTTGTCTTTTATAATTTCTCTTCTATCTCTTTCTTCATGTTTTTCCTGAGACATAACTAAAAGTTTTTTTTTTAATCCACTTCAAGATTTCAGTCTTCTGCCTTTTAAACTTTTTAGTATGACTATAACTGCTTTTAGAAGGCTAAAACTTACGTCTTACTTGAATTTCAACTTCCCCAGCAGTAAGTATCATTTGGTAAAATATCATTATTTAAAACATTGCCATTCTTTTCTTCTTCGTCACTAGCTTCTGCAATTTCTGGGGAACTAACAATATCAGTTTCATTCTGGTCATTATTAACATTATCATCATCTGTTTCTTTGTCAAAAAATCTTTGAAGGGTTTCTTCTAATGTAAGATACCTCATTCTAGGCATTTTTATACAACCAAAATATCGAAAGGAATGAGTGAAAAAGGAGATTGACTACCCGTTTCCTGCTGACGTTACATCAGCGCACCTGTTTTCTCTTCCTTCCCAACACAAATATAAACATCTGACTGATGTAATGTTCTGATAAATGGTGACCTTGACTAAAATAGATCACTCATAAAGACAGTGATTCTTTCATTAAATATTTTCAGCAAAAATATCCTGTCGAAAATTTTGCTTAAATTTTACTTAAAAGTACGAGATTAATTATTATAAACAAAATGATTGTTGAAGGCAAATATGTTTTTACAGAAATAATCTTCATAATATCCCCTACACAAAATCATCTGCTGGTGTAAAATATCTTAAATAATTATATTTATATACGCATTTATTTTGACCGTTGTGTCAACGCAAAACGAGCGGCTAACGGGTTAAGCAGCATTTTTTTTTTTTTTCCCACTGTGTAGTTTTATCTTTAATACAGTGTAAAATGTTGCTTTTTATTTTCATATTTCCTTGAGAATAAATAACTGTTAACAGAAGATTTTTTTTAAATTATGAAGCTTGGAAATGTAATAAATATCAGTTTCATGTCCCTTAAAAAATTGTTACATTTTTCCTTCAAACAAATAAATTAGCATAATTTATGTATAAGCCTGCAGCATGACTTAAAGTGATGCATTTTTAGTTTTGAAGTAATATGTGAATGAGGATTAAATATTTTACTTGAAGCTAAAAAATAAACTCGCTATAGTTTTGCAACTTGCATTTCTAGGCTCTTCCTGAAGAGCAGATGGCAGATGAAACATACGAACAGTTTGAAGAAAGGATATTGACAAAAAGGACTACGCACATGTTGCACATCATACATACAAGGTTAGATAATGATCGAAGTGTAAGCTTTGCTGATCTCATACGGAATAATAAAAGAAAACAAGTAAGTTCTAACATATTTTCTGTGAAATTTTTAATAGAGATATGTATATAATTATTACATCAAATGATATATATATATCTATTTGTGTATGTGTTACAGGTGGCTCAAAAGTTCTACACTTTTTTGGTTTTGAAGAAACAGCAGGCTGTAGAGCTAGAGCAAGAATCATCTTATGGGGACTTGATTATTACCAGGGGTCCTAAATTCAGTGCTGTATATAATGGTAACTGATAAACTGAATACTGTGGGGAGAGAGCCGGGAAGGGAATTCCCATGATGAGGTTTAAAAAAAGCATGAAATAAGTGAAAAAAGGGAATGCAATGATGCTAGCTACTCAAAATTTTAGGGACCAAATGTGATACAAAATGCTATGTTAAATTTCATGTATTTGGAGCATTTTTCACTCTTTTATGAAAGGTGCCATGTAATTTTAATATTGAAATTGTTGTCATCTGAAAAATTCATTGAAAGGATAGTTTTTCATTTCCATTTGTGTTAAATTTAGTGAGTTTAGTACAGTTTTTTTTTTTTTTTTTTTTTTTTTTGTGAAATTCTAAATTATTGAATTTCTTAAGAATTTTCAACTTATATGAAAGTGCATAGCTATTTTGTATCAGAATATGGTAAGCTGGTTTCATTGCCTAAGATATAACATCTTGTACAGATGGCTTTTTTTGTCACTGCAATTTTTGTGTATAGAAGTTTAATAAATTAAATATATTTTTATAATGAAGATGTATATATGAAGCTGTTTAAAATTTTGACAGATTTTGACTGCTGGAATTTATATTAAGCAAGCAAGCTTGGCTATTTATACTTGAAATGGCTTTCAGTGAGAGGTTTTTTAGCTTTGGTTTGAAATGTTATGACTGATCTGCCTGCTTTATTTTGAAGGTCTTGTTAATTTGCATGTAAAAAGGCCATGTAAAAATTTTTAAATCTTGTTTTCCATCCATACATGTGATGTAATTGTACAGGTGAATTTTTAATTTATTGTATAGATTAGAGTACTACTGTATTAAAACAAGTTAATAATATTGCAGATTATAATTGTGTAACTAGTTTCAGGTAATGACCATTTAAAATACCATTTTATTTGTATAGTATATGATTTATTTTGGAAAGTATTTCCATCATGTGTAAAACATACCTTTCAACTTTGGTTCTTTTTGTCATTTTTATTTATAAATTGCAGCACATTATGAATGGTTGCAGTGAAATAAAATAAAAAGTGCTGCAAATTTTAAATTATTTTCAGAATTTTTGAATAAATTTTATTAATGAAAATCAAGAGTTTGTGAGTGAACTGTTGTTAGTTTTTAGCTCCAGTGAAGAAACTGGAATTCTGTATCATAATGAATGATGTGGTTTTGTCATTTGTAATTTTTTTTATATTTTTGCCAAGAAAGTAGCTGATTCAGTTTCAATAAGGAAATTTAATGGCCTTAATAGTGAGGTTTTGTGAGTGCTGTTTAAGATATGAAGATAAAAGATTTGTCAGATTGGCAAGGCTTGTTGCTAAAATGAACAAAATGCATGTGCTCGATTTAGCTTTCCATTTATGCGAGTGTTATGGAGGTGCCAGCTGTTGGATTCTAAATATTCCAAGAGAGGTAAATTATTATTTCAAAAGAATTCACTTACAAAATGAATAACAAGCAAAATAATATTGTTTATCAAGCTAAGAAATCATTCTTTTTTCTCCAAATTATGTTTCTTTAATTTTTTCTGTATATTCTTTTGCAATGAGAAATATTTGTAGGCGTTTTAAAATGAATGTTTATAATTGAGTTTTATGTGTTTTCCTTTAATGTATTGACTTTGATGGTGCTTTCTGCAATTCTTTATTGAAAGAATGAATGGATAGTACTGAACACATCTGTAAGGGGAATTATGAAACAGAATTACAGTTTCAAGATAATTTATCCATTGAATTATCATTGCTTTGTGCCTAGATGTTTGTTTATCTAATTATTTTCTTGGAACACCACTTAGAAAACTAGGCCCCCCCCCAGTTACAGAAGGTCTGCAGTTAAATATTTGTGATGTGTAATTTCCATGAAAAGTCCTCAAAGAAGGTATATCTATTTTTGTTGCGTGTCTTAAAGCAGTGTTACCAGATCGTGTAATGTTTTGCAGGTTTGCTTATTTTGAGAAACCTGTCACTAAAATTTATGTATATGCAATTTTGCAAAATCTTGCTGCTTGGTCATTGTCTTATGCTACTTTATATGCCTTTAAATTTTTTTTATGTTTCAAAATGCTTATATGTTCAAATGTATTTACTAAAATTTGTAATTTTAAAAAAGCTATTTATTTAGGCTTAAATAAAGGCTGGCATCTGGCAATCCTGAGATATCATAAAATAGGTACAGTTTTCAGTACTAGTCGCTGGTGTTCTGGCATGTTTGATTAACCACCATGTTTAATCTGTAAAGTTTGCCAATAAGCAATGCAACTGTAGAAAGCGTATTTTCAAGAGTCGCTTCTACCAAAACCAAATGTTGAGAGAAAATGTGTTTGGAACGCCTACCTTCCATACTTAGATTGAAGGTGTCATTGGAAGGAAAAGAAATGCGCTGTATTTTACCTTCACCACCCAATGCATACATATAGCTGAGATATTTATAAAAAGAAAGAAATGAGACCAAGAAAATGAACTATTAAATTCAAATTTCTTTTAAATAACTGTAAAATTGAAAATGGAAATTTGTATGATTTTTTTCCCTTTTAAAACGTATTATTAAAGTAAGTTATAATAATATGGTCTGTAATATATATTTAAGTTACGGACTAGTCAGTATATTTTAAAATGAAGGAAAATTTTGTTAGAATTAATTTTAAAAATCAAACAAATGGAATAATTCAATATGAAACAAGTCTTCACAGTACAGTGGAATTTGCCTAGATTCCTTCATGGCAACCACTTCTGAAAGTATTCTATATTTATAAGAATATAAATTAACTCTACTTCTATAAAGTGGTTACCTCAACAGATAAACAAAATTATCTGGAATCATGAGTCTTGGAGAGTATTCAGTCTTTGTTCTGTATTTTGTTTCAAAGATTAATTTTAAAATAAAATATTTTTAGAATTGATGCATACTGCCAAATCAAAACAGAGTTGACATGAATGTCTGTTCATAATTGTAACAATTATTTCATTACTTTTTCCCTTATTAAAATTTTGTAAAAAATTCAGTATTAAGTGCAAGTAACAACTTTTATTTTATTAATTTAAGCATTAGTATTAGTTTTTTTCTCTTCTCCATGTTAAAAATTCTGTTTAGGTAAAATTAGTACTAAAAATACAGTTAAAAAAAATCTTTACTCGGGTTTTTTCCCTTTTATGTGAAGGGGAGTTTAAAAATCTCTTGGAATTCTTGAAGCAAAGTTTATATTGTCTGATTTATAGTCAAATTATAAAAACTGTAGCAATAAATGAGAAGATACTGCAAAAGAATGTAAAACAATTATGCACCTCAATTCTAATATTGATGATTTTATTGCTTTACAAATTTGTTTTTAGTCAGTTGTTTTCCCCAATTCATTGATGATACTGAAGTAGTTTGTAGCCTGAATGCCACTCGGATGAAGAAATTAAATTTATTCCCCTGATTGTAATATTGCTAATGACTAAACAATCGGGATGACCCAAAAATCACGACAAAATCAATTTTCTAGATTACAACAGATTTAGCAATGAAAGAACGGCAGTTTTATTAGTAACCAGGATTTGGTCTGGTCTGCTTTGATTTGGTTTGATTTATTTTATTGCTGCAAAGCAGACGAGGGCTATTTGTGTAAGGTTAGGGATGCCGTCATGGAGAACTTCCTAAGGGAAACTGGCTCATATACACATTACACGCGGTGAAACCATGAAAATTGCACATATAGTCAGCCTGTTTGCCAGGATTTGAGCCCAGACCAAACTACTTCCTGTTGTGCAGCGTCTTGGCCGCTGGCAGGACCATAATCGGAAACTGATAAAGTCAAAAATGTAGAATGGAAAATTTACGGAAAAGCAATAATAAATAAAGCAAATGAAAACAATCCGAAAGTTTTTAACGATTGCACAAAAGTCTTTTGAAGTTTGATAGGATTTATCAGTAGGGGTTATCCACAGAGATCTGGTCCAGGTGGAATAGTGAAACATTTAATAAAATATTGGATGAATATTTGTTTAGACTTAACATGGGAATGTTATATACTGTGTATTTGAAAAGTGAAAAAATATGTAATTCTATTAAAATACAGTCAAAAGTCATTAATCCGGACTCGTCAGGACTTCGGTGATTCCGGATTATCGATTTTTCCGGATTATAGATCATCAGTTTAAATCTCGTAAGATGGCATGCAGAAATTCTAAAATTAAAAATATGAAACCATAATTTATGAAATAAAGAACAATTATGATCTAAAGGGTATCAAAATTTACAAAAAAAAAAAAAAAAAAAGCTTAATATTTATTTGTTTGCTTTATTAAACATTTCTTTCAATGTAAGTTGTTTAAGTTACTTCATTTTATGTGATAATACTTTCTCTTTAATTTTATAAACAGACATAATTTCTTGTTCAGTTACGAAGTTCCGCTGTTAAAGTCCCGTAATTGCTGTGCCGAGAATACCGACTAACTTGTCAATCAAAATTTTTTCGTTTTCACTAACCTCTCTGTCACATTCTTCATGTCCTTATCCATTTTTTGCAGCAATTCCACTTTTTGTTTGATGGACATCGAAACATACTTTCGTTTTGTACGATCGTTTGGGAGCTCCTGAATCGGAAATTCTATTTGACATAATCGAAAGTTCAAGTTTATAATATTGCTCTTACAGTCTGCAAAAAATAATGAGCCACATCCAATTCGAAGATTAAGGAACAACGCAATCATCAACATTAACTGAAATAGATAATTTTAGCTTATACCATCCGTTATACGTAAAACGCGCACACGAAAACGTATTCTGCGCTTGCGCACACGCATATGCGCAGTTGTAAAAGGTCTTACGCACACACGTAAACGCCTATGCGCATGTGTCAATGTGGCGCATGCACAGAAAGTTTTTAGCTTTGAGGTCCGGATTATAGATCATTCCGGATTATGGGAGTCCGAATTAACGACTTTTGACTGTATTTGTTTTTAATTATATATATCATGATAAACTCATTTTTATTTGAGTCAGTATGATTATAAAGTAAAAAAGAAATTATTAAGAACTGCATCTATTGTTTTTAAATAGTTTATTTTGCTAATTAATAACAGACAGTTTAAATATGAAAGAATAATATCTTCGTTTTTCTGAATGGTTACAGACTAGTATGAAAAGTAAAAAACTGAAGTAAAACAGTTGAAACAATGTTAAGTCATGTTTCGAGACTAATAGCTAAGCCTTTTAGGCTAAAAATAATGAAAGAGAAGTAGGAACTACCAACTCAAAAAAATTAGTATGAAAGCACTAATTATTCAAATTTTAATAATGGTGTTTAATGGATGTGAATTAATTAATTTAAAAAATAAAAACCTAAATTAACTGAGAATTAATTAAAGGGAAAACTGATGTTTAAACATTGAATAATTAACAATATAGTTTTAAAATTTTCATCAAAACTAAGATACGTTATGATGACGACTAAGAATCAAATTACAATCCAAAACTTACAGAATCAATGGAGACTAAATTTGTGATATGTCATCTGAATATACCTAACTGTGATGGCACTAAAATCTTGTGATCTCTGATGTCATGTGTTACATTTTGTGACTTTTCAAATCTTCTGCTTCGTAAATGTAAAAATTTCTGGCAACACTGGTTTAAATGCTAATTTCTTTAGATATTCAGTCATTTTATAATTTGATTCCTTTATCAATCTTTATCTAATTAAATATATGTTAATATCTTAATCTAAATCTTTAATCTATTAATCTCTCTATCTCTTTTGTGTCTTTGTTATGGAAATGCAGCACAAAGTCCGAAATCCATACGTCCAATAACCGGAATGATCTAAAATCTGGACCTCAAAACCGTCAACAGCTTTTTTTTCACCCTCCCCCCAATGCTTTACACATGCATATTTGATATTCCCCTTATAGATAAAACATGTGGAGAGTCCCGATTCTTAATTTCCCTTCGGCACTAAATACCTTATTGAAGAATCAATAATTTAGCATAAATTTGTGTGATCCGTAATTTGGCTTCGTAGTTGCATATCTGCTTGGCATACATCTCAAACTGAAACACTCTAGATAGAAACATCATTGATTTTACATCTGCTAATATTTTGTATCCCTGA